ATCCAGTGGACTTGTTTAGGAGATAACTTCCTAGGGGGGTTTTAATGCCTCTAAGTTTTTGTGGTCAGTCCAGAATTCAAAAGGCATTTTGCTGCTCTCTAAGAAATGACTCCTGGAGAGAGTCCATCTGACTGCAAAGCCCTCTTTCTCTCATTTGGCCCATCACCTCTCAGTGTCAGTGAGCTTTTTGGACACGTAGGCGCAGGGTTGCAGTTGGTCCAGAGAGTTTTCCCGTAGAAGGACTGCGGCAACCGCAACATCACTGGCATCGGCTTGCACCACAAACTGCCACTTGTGGTAGGGTGTTGCAGGATTGGCTCCATGGAAAATAGTCCTTTTATCTCCAGTTAGTGTCCAGTTTAGAAGTTGTTTGGGCTTGGGGTCGATCTCCTTTGTCTTTAATAGTTCCATAAGTAGCAGGGCTATCCCAGCAAACATGGGAATGAACTGCCGGTAAAAGGTTGCAAACCCCAGGAAAAGTTGCCAATCCACTACAGCTTTAACTTTTTCCGGGTCCATTTCAATCCTGTCATTTGAAACTTGGTACCCCAGGTAGTCTAGGGAGGTCTTGTGGAACTTGCACTTAGACAGTTTGGCATAAAGCTTAACTTCTAGGAGTATTTTCAACACTTGTCGCACTAGCTTGATGTGTTCCTCCATTGTCTCACTGAAGATGAGAATGTCGTCCAAATAAACTAAAGCTCCCTTGTATAGGTGCTCATGCAGCACCTTGTTAATGAGTTGCATAATCACTACTGGGACTCCTGTAGCCCAAATGACATAATCTTAAATTGGAAGCTGCCTAACGAGCACTTGAATTCTGTTTTCCATTCGTTGCCTTTTTTTATTCGCCCGCAGTAGTAGGCTTCTCAAAGGTCTAGCTTTGTAAACAATTTTCCCTCACTAGATGGTTGAGCATGTCCTTCTTGAGGGGGAGGAGCAAGGTGTTCTCTACGCATACAGCATTTATTCCAAGAAAATCAACATAGAGCCTCACCCCACTCCCCCATCTTTAAACAATACGGGGGCTGCGATCCTAGATTTTGTGGGCTGGATGAAAACCCTCTCTAAGTTGGCATCAATATACTTCTTCAATTCATCCATTTCCTTAGGGGCCATCAAATATATTTTTGGCTTTGGTAGTTTCGCCCCTAGTATAAATTCTTTCGTGCAATCCATGGGTCGATGGGCGGAGCACATTGCACTCGTCTTTGCTAAAAGCCTCTGCTAAGTCTAGGTACTCTTTGGGTATCCTTGGGCAACTGGGCAGTACCTCCGTGATGGAGGCCACTTCCTCTTTCTGGCTGCAATTGCTGGGCCCCAAAGATGGCCAGTTCTCAGTCTACAGAAGGCGTGGTAGTGGCCTATCTTTATTTTACAATAGCCATCTTCCCATGTAGTTGTGGGGGCCCACTTGTCTAGCCAAGCTAAGCCGAGGATGAGTGCTTCAGTCAATTTTGGGGTGACTACAAAGTGTATAATTTCCCAGTCCGCCCCATTTCTAATTTTTTACAGGTTCAGTAACTAACATCATGTGCGCCGCCCCCCCCATTAGCAAACTGTCTACTTGTTCAAAGCGGATAGGGTGGCCCAATGTTGTTATCTCTAAATTTTGTACAGTCTGAGAGCTGATTAAGCACCGGGTGCATCCAGTGTCTACTATGGCCTCTAGGTCCACATGGGCTCCTGTCTGGGGAACTTACTATGCAGGACTTTATGGCAAAGGGGCGGATGAATTCACTTACCATCAGGTCCTCATCACCGCTCCCACTGGTGTCGACACCCTTCAGAGCCAGAGTTCCCCCTTCATTGGACTGCAAAGGGGGGGACCTCCACGGCTTGCTGAGCAAACTTTCCTTTGTGTTGCGGTTTTCTGGGAGTTCTCTTTGACTTTGCTGTAGCTGGTGTCTGTGCCTGAGGAATAGGAGCCAGCGTGAGGCATTCCGAACTTGGTGACCCTGCTGGCTGCCTCTGAAGCTCTTGATTCCAGGGACTGCTGTTAGTTGCGGCTCCATTGGTAGTTTGCTGGCTGGTCTGTTTCCCAATGGTCATTTAGGGGGTTTTTCTGGCGGGGACCTCCGGTGGGGTGAATCTCTTAAGTCCATAGTACCGCGAATCTTGGATCCGGTCTGGTACTCCTCCAGAGGCACACGCTTGCCTAAAGTCCTGATCCAGGTCCTCTTTAAAATAATGGATGAAGAGTAACTCCGGCCACTCCTGTAATTTTCCGATTACTCTTCTAAACTCCTACACAAATTCTTTGGGGAGGCAGACCACACAGCTTCAGTGCCTTGATTTCTGCTTCAGCTTCCTCTCGATTAGTTGTGTCTTCAAATCGCGCCCTTAAGGACTTCATGAACTCATCCACATCTTCCAACTCAGGGGCTTCTTTGCCTTGGAGTTGAGCAATCCAATCTGCTGCCTCCTCCTCTCATCTTATCTGCAATGACTGAGATCATGTCCTTGTCTGATTGGTATTGAGCCCTATATCAATCGATGTGGGCCCAGATTCTGTTTAGGAAATGAACCAGCTTTCCTGGGGTGCCATCAAAGAATTGTGATGCAGGCGGGTCTGCTGCGGCCAGTGGGATCAGCAATGGGACAGGAGCTGGCACTGACTGGTATTGGATCCCCCCCTGGTCTGGGTAAAAGGCCCATCCAGAATTTGGTCAGCGGGCAGCAGTCTGGGATGCGCTGGTGGCAGATGACAGGCAGGCTGGGATAGTCCCCTTGCTTCTCCCTGGCGCCTGGGATTGAGTGCCCCAGGGCTCCAGGGTATCAACTGGCTATAGCGTTTTGCTGCGTCATTGCCCCAACAATTTGGTGCGAGGGGGAAGGCTGAGTCTTGATCCAGCCAGTGCTGAGTGGAATGAAGCTGAAGCCCCGCTTTGGACTGCCATGCTCCCTGACCCTGGGAAGTTGAATGTCAGTTGGACTAGGGTCCAACCAGGCTGGATTGGATATGGGGATGTCTGAGCAGTGGGTCCCACACTCAGCTGATCAAACTTCTCGGGTAGCCCTGCAAGCGACCAGCTTTGCTTGGGTCATCATTGCAGCTCCAATTCTAGCTGCGCAGCTGGTCTGGTTGGTTGGGACTGGCTCCTTGGGTTGGGTGCCCTTCCGCTGCAACTACCGCAGTAGCCAATGGATAGCAGATGGCTCCACAAATGTTCCATCTTCCCTGAGTCTTTGTGCTCCCCGTTAGATTAGGGGGCATTCAGGGCTCCGGACAGCTTTGCGAGAAATTGCTGGAATGTTCTCAAGAAGAGATTCGGGTTAATGGCAGCATTCCAAGTAAACTCTCCATGCAATTCAGAACTCCGAGACAAAGTCCATCAAGAATTTATTAGAGAAGTCATGTTGGCACATCTGGGGAAACCCCAAATTTGAATTCCTACGTTTTCCCTCCATCCACACTAAAAGTCACACTCTGCCACACTTAGTGACTTCCCCATAACATGGCTCAATCAATGTCCTGTCTCAGCTGCTGCCAAACTTTGGCCACACCCCTCCAGGTGCCAGCAGCTTGTCCTTGATCTCTAGTGAAAGAATGTTGTTATGGCTAAACTCCCTTCGCTACTGTCCTATTCTCACAGCTTGCCCATCCCCTGCTGTGGTAGCCCTGAAATCTGTCCCAGGATCGATCCAAGGCTGACATTTTCAGGGAGAACTTTATTTTATTCTGTATAATTTATCTTTTCCTTTATGTTCTATTTCCCATAATGTTTTTATGTGCATTTTAGATGAGTTTCTGTATAGTACCTCAATAGGGCAATCACTCCATTGTTACAACACACAAATGTAATTTTTTTTCTGAAATCCACAGGACACATAGTAATCATCATCAGATCCATAATTCAAAAGTGTTTCTTGTTCTCTGATATTTTTCAAGTGCTAGGTTTCATAGCCATGTGTTACCACTGGAAAGAAAATTATATCAACTATTTTGATCTTTGTTATAATAGACATATCCTTTCTCTTCATTATCTTGTCAAATCTGCATTGTCTTCTTCCATAGGGGGAACCTCAACTATATTTTGTCTAACTTTATTTATTCTTGAGCCTAAGAAAACAACTACTACCTTCCATTTTTTATTGTTGTATTTGTGTTGTTCATGAACAATGCTGGTTAAACAATGCTTTTACTGCCATAACATTTAATCCAGATTTTTTACTTTCATTTTTAATTTCATTATGACTACAGGTTGATGTTAATAAAATACCTGCACATAAAGTGAATAAATGTAACATTGGTTAGATATTTCAGAGTACAATCACTTCCACATAAATTGTCCAGTACTCAACATTATTCAAAAACCATTTGTCTGAAATATTGGTATATTTCATTTGTATATTTGTTGAAAATGACAGCTCAATTCTGATCTAGCTTTTGGATCTCTTATCGACTTTATATTGGCAGCAGGTTAATCCTACCTTGAGGAAGATGGGTGCTCTAGAAACATGAAGTGTAAATAAATAAATACATAAAATAAATTGGAAGTGGCAAGAAATTGAAAAGAACCTACAGAACTTTCAATAGATAACTAGATTCGGAAGTTATGAAAAATAAAAATTTACTCACAAACTGAGCTGTGCTAAGAGGTTGAATACACACACAAACATATACACACACCTCTTCATCATGTAGTTTTGCTCTGCAAACCACAACAGGAACAAATTAATTGCTGCTTGTTTTCAGACAGAGATTCTGGAATCTCTGTAAATGCTTGCTGTGAATCTATGTTTTGCTTTCAAGTATGTTTTGTTATTTTAAGTTCTTAATGGAATAATCTTAAAGAGCTTTTTGAAGTTCTTTATCTTAGACTGGCATTAGCCTCTAATATAATATTTTGTTTGTATGTAATGTTGTTTACAGCATAATAATTGTTTCCCATTGTCAGTTGGATTCTTGACCATCTATTTGTTACGACCAATGTCTTTGTTGTACTTAATTGTATCAAAAATGACCCCCCTCCCATTACTTTTTAAAATATTTTCAGATAGGCCCTAAATGGAAAGATGTTGTTACTAAGTGCATTAAGGGTCATTACCAACCCTTGCTACTCCTTTATGCAGACCCAAGAGGAACTCCAGTATCAAGCCAGAATCTATCCACACAGGATTTGCCACAGTATAACAGAACTTATTATGATAGTGAAGATTCAGGTAACCTTTTGAAGTTCTACATAAGTTTTTTGTAGTAAATAAAGACTTGTGAACTATCAGATATCAGCAAAATGGCATAGAAGTGGAATTTAGTTCTTTGCCTACCTGAAATATAGCAAATTATGCAAAAATACTTTATACATTGTGCAGAAATTCAACTAGTCTGAATATCATATGTATTTTTGTACATACGGTAGAAAAAATTATTAGAGGATTAAATATTCTAAAGTCCTTTATGCTTTATTTTTCATAATGTTAAATTTAAATTCTTGAAAAATATAGTGGTATTTGAATGTAAGCCTGGTTTAAAAAAAAACCTTCCATATAAAAAATTATTTTGGATTTATTAGCATTTATTAATAATAAAAATTCAGATAATGAAAAATTCAAAGTGAATTATTCAGAGAACTGAAGATTTTTTTAAAAAACGGCTTAACATACCGCTGGAAGTCTGAATGCATAAAGATAATTTCTATTTATTTAACCGCCTCCTTTTTAAAAAAATCATCAATATGGTACACAGATAATAAAAACATTATCTCTGGGCTTTATTCCCTGCCTGCCTGGGTAAGCAGGACAGTTCTGCAGGTTTGGCTGATATGTAAAGTATGATAATTTTAAAAATTAAGCCAAGTTGGCTAGATCAGGAATCCCTAACCCCCGGTCCGCAGCCCACTACCAGTCTATGACCTATTTGAAATGGTCCACATGAGCGATGGGTAGATGGGCACACAAAGCTACACATGCAAGCAATGTCTTCTTGCATACGCACATGAAGCTCCACTTGCATGAGCAGAGGTGATGTAAGTGATGCAGTATTGCTGGACAACAAAGAAACATTTTATAGTTTGATCTTTTTTCTCAACATTACCTTCAGATAACTGGCAAAGAGAATCTACAAGGTGGTTGAATGTATGCATACAGAAGTGTTATGTCTCACCTTTCCAAGGCAGATGAGAAGTCCAAACTCCGACCAAATACAGGCAGGCAAGAAGATTCAGTATTTACAGAGTTAATTCCTTTAAGCAGGCAATGTTCTTGGCAGTATCACACACGCTGCCTGCCAAGTCCGACACGATAACCAGAAACATTAATCACGAAAGCTTTCAAGGAACAAGATACACCAAAGCTCGACAGAAAATTCTCACTTTGTCCCGTACAGAGTTCCCAGAGAAAACGCACCCACTTTTATCCCCTGTGGGGTGTGTCTCCATGGCTCAGCTCAGTCTCTGATTCATCCATGCCTCCTGCGTTGCAGTTCACACTTTTTCCTGCGACGCTGCCTCGGATCAAGCCAGCATTCATCTACTTGATTCTCTGTCAGAGGCTGCTCCAATATGCCCTCCCTCTCCTGACTAGCCTCAGGCTGTCCTTCTCGGTTATCTGCCGAAACCTGAGGCATAATCAGGGAGGAAGGCATTGCCGAAGAGGAAGGTCCTTGGGAGGAAGGCATTCCCAATTCCTCCTCCCCCTCATCTTCCGAGTCCTCTTCCTCTAACAACGCAGGCTCATGCATCGGTGCCACAACACAGAAGGATGATGGAGATGGATTGCAAGATGTTTTAGTGCTCATTGAGCAACCTTTTCTCAAAATTCTATTTTATTTGAGTTGTCAGCAGCTTCCACGCTGCCATCTATATTGTCTTAGAAATGTAATTAGAAATTAGGGTAAATGTATTTACCCTAATTATGTTAACATTTTTCTAATTTTCTCAAAAATGTTCACTATTTTTAATAGGACGTGAACCTTCTATCTCAAGTGACACTAGAACAGATTCTTCTACAGACAGCTATCTGCATAAACATTCACACCATGAATCTATGGTCAGCCACTTTTCTTCTGATTCTCAAGGAACTATTATTTATAATGTGGAAAATGATGTGGTTTCGCAAAGCAGCAGGGACACAGGTAAACCTTTAGAAATATCGAACTTCACATGTTGGTTTCAATCAGTTGAAAAAAGAGAAAAATATATCTGTCTGTCTACCTATTTATGTAATTAATGTTAAAAAAGCATCCTTCACTAATAATTGTCTTTATATTTTAATTATTGCAACTCAGTACACACAGGTGTACTGTGAAACCTGTAAATAGCATCAGCTGACTTGCAGATATGAAAAAAATAAAAATAATTTAGTCAAAGAAACCCAAATTTTTCAGGAATTCTGTATTTTTGTGAGAGATCCTACAAATCATTGGCAAAAATTTAAGCGGAAATATTAGCTGAAATTACACAGTAATGCCTTGCTGCTAGGTAAGTTTATTTACTTCTCTTCCCCAATATGTCAATTACTAAAAATTTGAAGTACAAATAGAAAAACTGTGCTAATATGAAATGCTTCTACCTATCAGAAATAGATGATGGGTCCAAGAAGAACAACAAAAATAATAAATGAATTTGGTCCATCCTGAGAGATTTGTGGATACTACATTGTTTAGAGCACCCTCTCCCAACTGGGGCTCTGCAAGATCCTAGAGTTCTGAGAGAGGTCACCAGGTTCTATAAAAGATGTTGACTGACAAAAAAGTCATGCAGTGATAGGAATTCTTTGCATGCTGTTTTGGTGTGATTGTAAACATTATAAAACATGGGTTGTATAGTTTAGAAATAAATTTCTTCTTATACTACATGATTTTTTGTAGGAGATTATGTAGGGGGATTCACATTTCTGGCAGAACTAATACCATTCATTGATTATATGCCAATTACTATGAACCTGGTACCCTATTATATTTCCCATATCTGAAAGCTCACTTCATTCCTTCAACTTCTCCAGCAGGTCAAGCAAAATTTCATATCAAATGGATCCTGCAGCTCATTCAAAAGATGAAGAGGGCATTGGCAGAAGTATCAGTCGGCCCTCATGTCAGCCAACCTCAATGAAGATGGGTCTATACAGAATTCTAGTGCAAGAGCTATGGTCTTTATTGACTTGCAATCCCAATTTCTTTGCTAAATGGCCTTCAATTTCACCAAAGCCATAATTTGATAAGACCTCAATTTACCTCAACTTATCGTTTTTAGAAATCTGAGATGGGTGACAATAATATCTTCTAACCCTTAAAAAACTAGTGGCTTTTAAGAAGAAAAATGCAAGGACCCCCTGAGAAGAATTTATTGAATCAGTGAAGAAAAAGAAGTCTGCTCTTTTCTGGCACCTCAGGTTTCCAGAGCTTCTACCCCATTAGATTCTCAAATACCACCTAAAGCCTGGGAAAGTACATTTTCAGAGGATGTATGGAGATCCCTCATTGTGAGGATGAGGACTTAACTAAATGGCTCTCAGTATCAGCATCTGAAACTAAAACCATTATTGGCTAACTCAGGAGGGGGAAAGGTCCTGGAACTGACTGTTCTCTCACCGGTGCACAACAGATAGATTGTCACTGCTGCCAACTACAGTATGCAGGTAGAAACACCTAGCCATCAGAAAACTTTCTCTCTTACCTGATACCATTCTCTCCCCTCTGCATATTGGATGTTAAAGATAAAAAAGGACCATTGGCTGGCTTGACTGCTATGATTTAGGAGCGGTGGAAATGACACGTGTTCTTCTTTGTTGCTCCTTTTACAGAGACATCCGAACCAGATTTATTCTACCTCTGAGTAGTAGATATTCTGATTGCCCAGATTCAGTCTATGCCAAGATGCTGGTCATAAATGAACTATCTTTTGTTACAGCGCATGTTGCTAGGTTTCATGTAACAACACTGGACCCTGATGGGCCAATTATCTGCAGTGCATTCTATGTAATTGTAATTCATTTAAATTTTAGATATTATCACTTTATTTTTAATTTTAGAATTATCATGATTTAATATAATTTTAGTATCTATATTCTAATTTAATATATGTTGCCTTCCAGATTAAAAAAAGTTGAGACAGGCAGTTATAAAGGATCAGTAGTGTATGAAGGAAGGTGCAATATCCTGCTTTCAATTCTTGTAGGTTCTTTATAGAATTTATAGAAATCTGTTGTGACTGGAAGGTTTGAGCCTGCTGTGAGCTTTGAGTCTGATGTATCAAGAAGACACAGGTTCGAGTGATGAGGAAGGTTTGGCATTGGAATTGGAGCCTGCTCTAATGAGAGATGCAGACGTGAGCCAGGAGGATGAGGGAGTGTCGGAAACACCATCCTCTCCAGAACCTTCCACTTCAATCATGCCTCAGGTGTCAGCAGCTGATCCACAGAACATACCAGAGTCCTTGAGTGATGACGAATGTTGGGTTGATGCAAGGACTAGACGCAGGTTGAGACGTCAAGCACAATTTGAAAAGAAACGTCAAGTCAGAGACTAATTAGAGAGACTGATACGCCCCTTCAAGGAATATAAGGAGGCGTGTTAGTTAACGGTCCTTGTCCGGATCAAACTTTGTTAGTTACTGCACAGCTTTGAAGAAGCCCTCTGTTCCTGATTTATCTTGCGGCTTGTTATCTCGGCTTGAAGACAGTTTCTGGGAAAGCTGCCAACGACGATTACAAAGAAAAGTTAACGCTGTGGTTTTTGGTATTATTTGTTCGTGTTTATTTCTTTGGGACATTTGGACTCTCACTTGTGGCTACAAGTGAGACAGAACAATATTAGTTTGATTAAGGTTTTTATTTTACATATAAAATAAAGCTAGGATTTTTTTAAAAAAAAATAATTTTCAAACATTAGTGGATAGTTTTTGTATCTAAAGTCTGTGAGAACGAACAAAGCTTTTTTTAAAAAATGCTGAACTATAATTTGTAATGTGTTTTACATCTTTTCTTTCAGGTCACCTGACTGATAGTGAATGTAATCAGAGACATACTACCAAAAAGAGTTCTCTGGCAGACCGTAAGAGAAATAACAACAGGTCTAGAAAGAAGGGGGATGAAGCACAGCCATCTGGATATCACAGTGAAGGTGAAAATGATTGGATTCTTTCATTTGTGTTGTCAGAGTTAGGACTGGATTGCTTTTTGGACTGTATCAGTTCAGAAATTTGATGAAAACAGTCTACTGAAGATGTTTATATTGTTTACATGGTATTTTTCTACTCTTAAAACATAGGAGAGACACTGAAGGAGAAACAGGTACCCAGAACTGCCTCTAAAATGTTGAATGGTACCAGCAAACTAAGGGAATTTAAAGAGACAGTTAGCAACATGATCCACAGCAGGCCTTCGCAGACACATCAAGGTTCCCCTCATGGGAAGAATCAGGCTGAAATCCAGTCACTACCCAGAACTTTGACCATTCACTCTCAAGACTGGGAAATAGAGAGCAACAGTAGCGAATCAAAGTCAAGTTCTTCTTGCAAGTACCGACCACCTTGGAGACCCAAACGAGAGCCGCTAAATATAGACAGCATCTTCAGTAAAGAAAAGAGAAAACAAAGTGGCTATACCCAACTCAGCCCCTTCGCAGAAGATGCAGGTAAAAATGGTCAAGATGTGTAATACAGAGTGGCATGAAATATATATATTTTTCTTTATTAAGAGTCATTAATACTATCCAAACAAATATTTTTCCTACAGTAAGCAAAGAAATATGAGGTTAACATTTAATGGTTAACATTGAACATTCAATTGTGTTTTGCTATTCTGACTTTATGAAATAAAATAAATAGTAAAATAAAATAACATGGATGAGAATGTGTCTTAAAATGGTTCCAAAGGTTCTACATCTGTTTTCTTTGTGATATTTTTTGTAACTTTTTCCTTATGTATGCAAAAAAGTATATATCTTATTTTTATTGATTGCATTTGATATAAGATTAATGGGCCATAATCAGCAAACTGGAAGGGCCATGTAAGCCATCAAGTCCAACTACTCAATGCATGTATCCATATTAAAATATCCCAAAACATATGATAGTTAAGCCTGTGTAAAAGCCAATGAAATGGACTCTACCATTGCTGAGTAATTGGTTCCAACAAATCACAGAATGCTGCTGCTTCTGCAAAAATAGTGAAATTGGCTGATCCTACAAGCTTTAAAATGTATTAATTTAAAGAAAAAAACTATCATGAAAAGAATGTTAAATAAGGTTTAAGTTTACTTCTGTAAATGGGTGGTATCCAGGGGTGGGATTCAACTGGTGTTCGGTGATTACGTTTTACATGTGCATGCATGCTTTGGGCGCACACGTGCCAGACGCGCGGTCTCTGCGTGTGTATTAACCTTAAGCTGTGCTTCCTGGACAGCTGATAAGCATTTGAAAAGGCACTTTTGTTACTGCTTTTCCAACCTCAGCTGTGCTGAGCAAAGCAGCCGAGGTTGAAAAAGCAGGAAATAAAGGTCAGGTAAGAGCCCGGGCCAGCAGGTGGGCCAAACAGCAGCAGACACAGAACTGGTTGCTGCTCTTCAGAACTACCGGTTCTATGGAGCTGGGCAGAACTGGCAGCATCCCACCCCTGGTGGTATCTAAATTCAGTTTGGATAAATCTCTGTCTAGCAGTATATCAATTAGATAAAAAGATAAGGGAAATTTGAGAAGGTTTAGAAACCATTAGAGGTTAATTTTTGCAAGGATGAGAAAAAGTGGATATACACTGTGTGCACAATTATTAGGCAAGTTGTATTTTGGAGGATTAATTTTATTATCGAAAAATTACAGTGCTCTCAGTTAATCCAAAATGTTAATAAACCTCAAACCTGAATATTTAAGAAAAGAAAAATGAGGTTTTGGCTTTCTTAAGAGAATATCTATGTGTGCATATTGAGCAACTATTAGTGTGCAGAAGTATTATGCAACTAAATGAAAAATGAAAATTTTCCCATCTCTATTTTTATCTGATAAAGTGAGAATAATAAACAAACAATCCAAAATGTACACACAAATGTTTCTGGCATTTAAAAAAAAAACAGTGGCCTATATAGTTACCCTTCTTTTCAATAACAGTCATAAGCCTTCCATTCATGGTGTCTGTCAGTTTCTTGATCTGTTGACAACCAACTTTTTGTGCAACAGCAACCACAGCCTGCCAGATATTGTTCACTGTTTTCTTTCACCATAAATCTTCCATTTAAGGAGGGCCCACAAGTTCTCAATCAGGTTTAGGTAAGGTGAGGAAGGGGCCCATGTCATTATTTTTCAACTTTAAGGCCTTCACTGGCTAGCCACGTAGTGGAGTACTTTGATAAAAGCAATGGAGCATTGTCCTGCATAAAAATCATGGTCTTCTTGAAAGATGCAGATTTTTTCCTATACCACTGCTTGAAGAAAATGTCTTCTAAAAACTGGCAGTAGGTTTGGGAATTGATTTTGAGTCTATCTTCAACCCCAAAAGGTCCAATTAGTTCATCTTTAATACCAGCCCATAGCAGTACCCCACCTCCATTTTGCTGACATCTGAGTCGAAGTGAAGCTCTGTGCCCATTATAGTGCCACAGGCCCATCCGTCTGGTCAATCAAGATGAGTCATCTCATCAGTCCCATCAAACCTTTGACAAATCTGTCTTCGGATATTTCTTGGCCCAGTCTTGCCATTTGAAGTTATGTGTCCTGTGCACTGGTGGTTGGGATTCAGCCTTCCTTACTTTGGCCATGTCTCTGACTACTAAGCATTGTGATGGTTTCAAGTAATGATCCCTACCAAGTCAGAACTCTGAGACTGGAATTCTTCTCAAAGATTCTCTTTATTGGGTACATCATAACGGCACGTTCTTATGTGAAGCCAGCTGTAAATATGTCCTGTGGTTCAGTGTAATTAAATGAGTAAATGATTCCCCCCCCCAAGGGTCAACAGATCATGTTTCCCAATTGAGTAAATGACAGGCTCTTCAGGCACTCCCCTCCTTTCTTGCTCAGCATTTGTTGAGATGACCTTGGCTCTACCAGCCTCTGCCTATGTATTGTCTAGCACTTCATAGAATAACATTCCAAACATCTATCCTCCCCCCGCCGCCCCCATCTGTGTGGCAACTGAGAAACGGGGGGGGGGGGGGGAGTCCCCCACCCCCGGTTGTTTTGAAAGATGACAATTGGCCCCCCTTACAGAGAAAAAGCAAACGAAAGATAATAAGCACAGGCACACATTCATTCTCTATTAACCTCCTCTTCCCTCAGGTGGTACTTTGGGTTTTGAGGATTCTTGTCATGAAATTTCCTAACCAGCCCCTCTGCCCTTACATCCTTACTCTTTACCCAAGTAGCCTCTGACAGGGGGTAACCCTTCCACTGAACTAGACATGGTAGCTTCCCCTTATACAACCTCGAGTCTAGGATTTGTTTTACTTTGTAATGCATTTCCCCTTCTACTGGGAGCAACCCGAACTACTGGTCCAAACCTATTACTGGCTTCAATAACCTGCTGTGGAAGACAGGATGCACTTTCCCCAGTAAGTGGGGAAGTTTTAACTCCACTGTGACTGGGTTGATGACTTTTACTATTGTGAATGGGCTTAGGGCCTTCTTCTTGCAAGGCAGTTTTAATTTTAAGTATTTAGTGGAGAGGTAAACCTTTTCTCCAATGTGAAATGGTCTCTGAGGGGACCGCCTTTTATCTGCTTGCTTCTTTTTGAACCTCTGCTACTTTAGATAGCGCTTGCTTTACATGTCCCTAAGCACTCTGCAACAAATCAACCCACTCCGTCAGACCGATTGAGAAGCGGGGTTCCTGAGAATATTCAGGCACTGGGACAAATTCCACTCCATTCACTACCTTAAAGGGAGTGAGTCCCATACTACTATGCACTGCATTGTTATACGCAAGTTCAGCAATTGGCAGGAGCTCTGCCCAATTGTTTTGCTGGTAGTTAACGTAACATCTCAAGTATTGTTCCACCATTGTGTTAGCTCATTCCGCTGCACCACTGGTACTTGGATGAAAAGCTGAGCTAAGACCTTGGGGGGAACCAATTGCCTCAGCCAAAATTGACAAACACCTTGTATTTCTGGGCATTCCAAGTAGGTTGCAATTCTGGAATATGCCAGCACTGGAGGATAATGGGTTCCTGGCAGCTTCACATTTGATTCTTCTCAAACCTTTGGTAGTTAATGTGCATCTTTTTTTTTTCTCAGTGTGTTTCTTGTGACCTTGTAGATTATTTGCAACAAAATGTTTAATGGTTCTGTGATCACACTCCAATATCTTAGCAATTTCAAGAGTGCTGCATTCCTCTGAAAGACTTTTTACAATTGTTTTTAGAGTCAAGTAAATCTGTTTTTGGCCCATTTTGCCTGAGTTTTTAAGAAACTGCCTAATAATTGAAATAGGGTGTTGATCTCCTTAGGCCACATTATACAAATATACATCAAGTTTATATAGCTTGGAAGTGGAAATATGCATAAAAATGATGACAGGGTCTAAATACTCACTTGCCTAATAATTGCGCATGCAGTGTATAGCATCGAAAAAGATTTAAATCTGTCTTTTGATTCAGCATTTTTATTATGCAAAAACTAAATAGCTGTACTCACATTATCACACAAAATAAATAAGTAAGGTACATTATAGCCTAACATTATGGTGAATCTAATTACGGAGTTAAGATGAAATATTATAGAGAAGAATGGTACCAGGTTGTTTTTTGCAAATATTTGTTTATTCAATTATTTTATAGCCTTCCGTTCTGTCACAAACTCAAGGAATGTATGTAGAATTCCCTACTCATTTAACTCACAACATCAACCTTATGAGGTAAATTGGCTGACTACCATGTTTTCCCCTAAATAAGACCTGGTCTTATATTTTGGGGGGTTCAAAATGAGCATTAGGGCTTATTTTCAGGAAAACATGATATCAGGGTAAGCAGCCCGACTACCCCCCAACACACACACAAAAGGCAGCAAGCGCACAGGGGCTGACTTCTGGCAGCGGCTGCAGCCCACTAGCCACTTCGTACACTCTGGAGCTGCACAGCCTGTGCAGCGCAGGTAACTTGATTATGTGTCCAAGCAGCAGATGGCAGCAGAGGCATGGGGGGAGGCACCTGATTTAGATGCGCTACACAAGCTGCAAGCAAGCCAAGAGATGGAGGCAGCCAGCCATGGGAGGCTTATCTTTGCATCTCTCAGCTTGCCTGTAGCCCAGGCGATGCATCCGATTTGTGTGCCTTTCCCCTTCTCCAGTCCACTGACTCAGTTGTTTCATAGCCCGTGCAGTGCCTCTGGATAACATGCCTGCCCCCCCTGCCTCTGCCTGCTGTTTGGACAGGTAATCACCTGCACTGCAAAGGCTGCAATTGCTGTCGGCCCCCATCCCCTCACCACCTCCGGTAGTTGCCCACCCCTCCCCCGGTTGATGACGATCTTAACTAGAGCTTATTTTGGGGATAGAGATTATATTAGGAGCATGCTAAAAAGTCAAGCTAGTCTTACTTTTAGGGAAATGTGGTAGAAGTCCAAAATCAGCCAGTGAGCTTCTGGGGCTGAAATTTGTGCTTCCAGAATACTAAGTGAAAGAATTCCATTTACCTTTTATTTCATGTAATATCTTTGTCAGCCAAAGAATTTATAGAAGATGAGCTGAAGGAGCCAGCATGTGAAACAAAATCAAGGCGGTCCAACAGGTATAAACAATGGACTTTAGGGCGTGGTGCACATCACAGAATGGATCAGCATCCTCGTCTGATCCAAAGGATGGAATCTGGTTATGAAAGCAGTGATCGCAATAGCAACAGTCCAGTCAGTCTGGATATGCCTTTGTCAGATAGCTCAAATACCTCTAGGTATGTTTCATTAAAATGTATTTTAATTGTTCTAACATTATTCTTAAGTGTCTTAATACATTATTTTACTGTGAAATGGGAAATTATTAGGAACTACTGTGTTTCCCCGAAAATAGGACCTGCCACCAAAATAAAGTAAGTCCTACTTAAGAGCCTGTGCAGCTGGACACCTGCCCATTCTGTTTGGCTGCTGCCAATACAAGGCAGGTGGGGGTGTGCTGCAGCCACAGAGTGAGGCATTGTGGGGGGTGGGGGTGGAGGATGAAATGAGGTGGGGTGGAGAATGATGCTTCTTCTCCTTGCCACCGCAACAGTGCAGAAGGCTGAGCAATGCACCAGTGTTGTGGCCATTAAGCGGGGTGGTGGTGGGGTGGAAGACGAAGCCCCTTGGCCTGCAGAGCCTGATGCTGGTGAAGTGGGGTGGTGGCAGCTGGAGCAGCCCTCTTCATTCAGTGGCGGTGGCCAGTGGGGCACCCCCTGCCACTACTCCCATTCCAACACTAGTTGCCTGGAGCCCTTGGGGGGTGTTGCCTTGCACTTGCTTTCCAGCTCCCGCCCAGCTCCCCTCACTTCCCCAAAGAATCTCTTCACTAACCTGCTTTCCCGCTCCATATCTATTAAACTTCCTGAACAGAAGATCATGGAACTTGTAAACTGCACTGGAAGTTACTAATGTTAGCTTTTTTCTCAGTGAATGTGACTCCACTAATTCTTAGAGGCATTTTAAATCAATCCAGTTAAAGGATTATTGACAAGTTTCACTCCATATGCCTTCGAGATGTGTGCACCTCAACTGTCAGAATTCTTAGCAATGGCTATATTAGTTGGGGAATTCTGGCAGTTGAAGTCCACACATCACAAAGCCATCCAGTTTGGGAAACAGTGGCCTGTGAGAATTTATATAAGAACAAAAATGTCAACAGCATCTGCATTAAAATGTACATAGTGGATATTTGATATTAAAGCAAAAGCACTAGGCAATATAATAAACCAGAACTAAGAAGCCTATTAAATGAAGACATTATGGTCAAATTAACACAACAAATGTGGCATTGAAAAAGCCACAAATAAAATAGATGCTGTCTATTGAGGCTATCCAACTGAACTCCAAGAGATTACAGTAGATGGCAGTATACGTATATTTTATAGTATACGTATATTTTAGCACCAGAATTTGGAGATATTATTGAACCTGGCCAGTAGCTAAAATAAGAAATCATCTCACTTATTAACTGTGGGATTGTCAACCAACTATTTAGTTGGATTTGGTTTTGATTTGGTGGACCCCATTGCCATAGCCAATTTCTTCAGTTCTCTTTAAGAAGGAAGCAGTTATTGAGTGCTCAGAATACTGCTTTCCAAGTGTTCTTTATGTTTCCCTCTGTCACAATTGACAGGCAGAAAACATCCGAACACCTTCATTTGCATAAGATTGAAAGAGGAATTCAAATGAATTTTGGCAGCCAGTCTGTTTAAGAATTTCTCATGTAAGTTGAAGCTTGTGGAAGATTTGTTTGTCTAGAGCAGGGGTCAAACTGGATATCTTGGAGGGCCAGATTGTGGGCTGGTAGGTGGGGAGACAGGACGGACAGCCTCCTGCAGCACCCTGCTGGCCAAAACAGGGCACAGGGGGTGTGGGTGGCCCCCATATGGCCCGTTTTCGGCCTAGATGGCATCCTACAGTACCCTGCTGGCCAAAACTATTAACACTGCCACATTTTATTTTTCAATTTCCTTTTTCTATGAGAAATATTGGTGATTTAATGTAAATTGACACTTTTAGTGAATTTTAGACAATCCAAAAACTTACTGATGCACTTAAATATATAGAGAAAGCTAGAGTGATCGTACACTGTCTCTCAGGTGCCATCTCTAGGGCAAATTAATTTCAAAACCATGTGCCAGGGCTGCCTCTGTTCATTTCCTAGGAAAGAAAAATCCTCAGCTCCATAGATTTAGAGAAATTAGACTTCTGGTGGTGATGTGGGACCGAACAGCACAGGGTGACAGCGCTTTGCCTCCCGTTGCCAAAATCCAGCGATCCGTGACCATCCGAGGCAAAAAACGGCCCTGGGGGGGTCAGCGAAGAAGAGGGGAACCTTCGGAGCCATAGCGGGAAGGTGTGATCCCCAACAGTGCAAGCGGAGGAGCCCCCAGAGCTGGAGAGTCGGACTTTAATGGCCGACCCAGAGATCTGACGTCCTGCAAGACAGAAAGGGAAGCAAAAAGAGAGAACAGTGTGTCAAAAGCAGTGAGAGTGAAAGAGTTTGGTTTTGGGGAAAGTGCTAAGAGACAGAGAGCCCAGAAAGTGACAGTAAAAGTGAAAGTTCAAGGTGGCACATGGATTGAAATAAGGAGGAGAGCGGAACAGGGAGAGGAAGAAAGGGGGTGCCAGCAAATGTGAAGAAAGAACAGAAGAGAAGAAAAAGTAAGATTATCTGTGTTCTGTGTTCAAAGAAGCAGAGGAAAAAAATAAGGACAGGAGAGTGACTGTGACTGCACAATTGTAAGAGCTGGACATTTTGAAAGTGGAAAGTTAAAATTAACTCTTTTAAGACTACACTTTTCAGCACTACAGCAAGATACAGCAACCTGATTGGAGTTTCAAAAAATAATTTTGTTCAAAATCAAATGTCAGGTTGGAATATTACATTTAAAAATATTGTGGTTAAATTTCTTTTTTTCTTTACCTCTCTTTTGGTTGTGCATTATATTCAATGTTAATAATATTAAAACATTTATGTTAATATAGATAATATTGAATAGAATTTAAAGAAGAGTATACAATTAAGGGATTGGTTCTGCAAAACAATTTAAAGAAAATAATATGAACGTAAAAGGATTGTAAAAATTGATACAACTTGAATTCAGTTTGTTTTTCTTAGCAAAGTATAATTGTTATCAAAAGTATATTGGGATATTGAACTGTGACTTTATAGAATTATATTGATTGTTAGAAATAGGATATTGATTGTACATCTTAAATTGCTAATTAATTAACTGTTTAAATACTTAATTATACATTTAACTATTTAAAATATTAAGTTATAAATATAACAGAAGTATATAAGAATAATTAGAACCAATAGAACAATTAAATCATTATTATCAGTGTTATTTTGATTAACGGGATTGATTAGTAAAATTACATAGCATAAGTAATCTTTGTAACTTAGTGGACTACCCGAGATATAATAGAAGATATAGAACTGTAGATTGCAAGGTAAGAAAAAACAACAACAAAGAAAATAGAAGTAGAAATCAGGAGAACATTGAATGGTGTTGTGGGAAAGGATAGAAAAAATACTAGGACAGCAACACAAAATACTGCAAGAAATGACAAGTTTCATGACAACTACAGTGAAGACTGGAAAGAAACCCGTTCCAGAAACAGCTATACCATCCCCATCTACACAAAGGTCTATAGAAGGAATGTTCACAACAGACAAAACAACCTCTGTGATGAATGCACAGACCTTGCAGGCTACATTATTATCTATACAAGAAGCAATGATAAAGCTATAGGAAAATATGACTAGAAACCACGGAGAAATGAAGATAGAAATGGAGGAAGTGAAAAGATTGCAAATGATTGAGAAGAGAACAGAAAAAACAGAACAGAAGTTGGAATCGGTGGACCAGAAAATGAAAGAACAGAATAAGGAAGTGGAAAACACTTTGATCCAGCTGGAAATGGAGAGAGCCTCATTCTACCTGCGATTTCAGAATGTGGAAGAGATGAAGGAAGAAGATTTAACAGCAATAATGGCTGAAATAATCACAGAAGCTCTCCAAAGAGGTAAGAGTGAAATAATTAACGAATTGGACGAAGTTTACCGGGTTTACACGAATTATGCCAGAAGATTCAGATTGCCAAAGGAGGTCCATATCCGTTTTGCACGAAAAAAAAAAGTGAAGGATATAATCTACAAAATCACCAGAGATGACCCTATGTCCTATAGAGGAAAAGAAATTATTATGCTAAAGCAAATCCCGAAAAGAGTTCGTGAACAACAGAAAGAATATCGCTTCCGGCCGCTCAACTTAATAAAAATAACATACTGTTTAGATGGATAACACCTGAGGGAATGTTGGTGTCGTGGCAAGATTAAGATAGATACCTTGGAAAAAGCTCAAGACTTCCATACCCAAATGGTACGAATAGAAGAAGCAGGCAGCAACAGAGAAGAATTGGAATCGAGCAGCCAAGCAGACCAACAATTAGAAACAAAAGAAAAAGAGCAGGAAGGAGAGGTAGAGAAAAGAGAAGAAAGACCACAAGAAGAGAACAGAGTAAGAACAAGGGCACAAACAGAGGAAAAGAACAACAGGAACTAAGTAGTAAAAACAAAGAACGAAAATGGAAAATAATTTGAAAATATTGTCAGTAAATGTAAGTAGACTCAATTCTCCATCTAAACGAAATCAAACTTTAAAGAAATTGGTAAAACAAAAAATGGATATAGTGTGCCTCCAAGAGGTACACATTAGAGCTCAGGATAAGAAATACCTACAATATAAAAATTTAGGAAAACTCTATGCAGCATTAGCAGAAGAAAATCAGCTGCCTATAAAGAAAATCAATATAAAATATGTTACCAGTGGTACCTGGCACCCTCAAGATTAGTGAATATATACCCAAACTTAAGTCTGACTTGCTGGAAATGTAAGCAAACATGAGGTACCTTCTTCCGCATTTGGTGGCTTTGCCCAAAAAGTAAAAAATACTGGAAAAAAATTAGAATTTGGATGAAAGAAATTACAAATATCCAACTAGAACTTAAGGCCGAAATATTTTTGTTGGGAATGTTAAAAGAGGACTATGCAAAAGAAATGAACTATTTAATTCTCCATATAATTATGGCAGCAAGAATTGTGTTGGCACAATGCTGGAAGGGTGACCAAATGCCAACAAAAAATTTGATTATTCAGAAAGTTCTTGACTGCGCTGAAATGGACCTACTTACACAAAAACTTAGGGATAGGGAAGACTCAAGACATAGTACAGGTTGGGAAAAATGGCACAAGTGGATTAAGGATAAAAAACCAGGGAATTAAAAGATAAGAATTTGAAAAATGAAGTGGTTAGATTAAGAGCATTTACCAAAATCAGGAACTGAATATTAATAAAATTGTTTTCAATAAAAGATCACACCGTCTTAGTTGATTAGAAACATAAATGTTTTTTATGTTTATTTGTTATGTATTTGTATATTGATTTTGTTTGTAATGAAAGGTTGTATTCTATGTATTGTACATATTTTTCTTTTTAATCTTTAATAAAGTTTATTTTAAAAAAAGATTTAGAGAAATTACTTTTACTAGGAACAAGCTGAAAGCAACAAATTCCAGGCAAGTTCTGAGGCAAAGCGCAGGGAAACAGTAACTTGAAATAAACCGTACAGCTCAACCCCCTTGTAACTAGGCAACCAGAGGCTCTAGCTAGGCAACCAGAGGCTACTGCATACCAGAGCTAATAGACATGGCCTTGGGAGATAAGTGAAATCCAGGCCGTAGTTCAAAAGCTGCAATGAAAAATTATCCATTGATTCCTCCCCCCTTTTCTATGTCAGCAAGCAGCATGCTAGCTGACACCATGGTTGACAGGAGTTCCAGTTGGCATTCATTGTGGATAAGAATAGTATTTTTGTAAGCTCCCAGCCACTGAAAGGAAGGGATAATTAATTCTTTAATCATAAATCTATTATACATCCAAAAGTCTTAGTCACCTTGCTTTTGAAAAAATACGTATAGGATTATGATGCAAATGTTTAATTTTTCAAAATAATGTAATTCAGTAGTAAATTTAGGACTTTTACTGCTACTTTACAAAGAAAAGTGAAAGTGTTTCATGAGAAAATAAATGATTTTTTTTCCTTTTAAAGGGATATCAAACGAACTGGAGATTTTATTCCTGCCTGGCATAATATTCCAAAATCACATAGCAGTAGCATCTTGGAAGTAGAGAGTGCCTCGTCCACAACCTGCAGGAGAAAAAATAAATACTCTTTTGGTAATGGTAAGGTGTCATTCTCCAAATACTTGCAATCCTGGATCATATTGTAATTTCCTCTTTTTCCTAGGTCATTGTCCTGTGTTCACAGATGGCATCTGACCAGGAAAGGGACCTTGAATGTATTGTGGATAGCCCAATATAAACTCAGTGTGTGCCAGCAAGAAAAAGTTAGACTATGCTAGTAATCACTAGGAAACTACAAATATCATTAGTAAAACTACTCATAAGACCATACTTTATAAAAGTGGACTTTAAACCCTAGGTAGTTCAAATAATTGCAAACCACCAAAATATACAGGTAATCCGTACCACTTATTTACAGCCACTATTAGGACCATAACTTCCACTGCTAACATGCAGTTGCTAAGTGAGTTACATCTGATTTTATGAAATTTTTGCCAGTTGTTGTTAAACGAATCACCACGATCAATAAGTATATGATCATTAAGTGAATCCAGCTTCCCCCAACTTTGCTTGTCAGAAGCCCCTGGCAAATGGTTTCCCCAAGATGCTGCAAACATAGTAAATATATGCAAGTGCCCAAATTTTGATCACATGCCCATAGGGATGCTGTGACAATTGTAAGTGTGAGGTTTGGTCTTTGTCACTTTTTTCAGCACTGTCGTAAAGGTGGTTAAATAAATAGTCATAAACAAGTACCTGTAGCTGGGAAAGGCAACAAAAACTGAGGCAAAATGAGTAGGGAACTACATCAATTCCCTTATGAGAAATGCCAATAGAATTTGGAGCTTTTTATATGAGAAAGAAGCAACACAAACAGCAGCAGATGATATTAGGTACCGCACCCACAAAAATACTGTATGGCTGAATCTACAACCATTGTAAACCTAACCCAGAAGACATTCTATAAACTATTTTCACTTCCTTGATAAACCTTTCACTGGAAGCTATTGTTTGACTCAAAATTTCTGTTAGCTACCGTTCATTTAAGAAAACTAGCCTTATAAGAAGCACAGAAAACAATAAATTTAAAGAATGTAGTAATTAAATAACGCTTAATAAGATGAAACATTTTGGGTTTTTCCCACCTCTAAAGGTGGGGAGATATTTGTTTCTTCCAAGAGTGAACTAGATGAATTACAAGAAGATGTAGCAAGAAAGGCCCAGGAGCAAGTCTTCCAGAGGAAGCAGGAAAAGGAACTAGAGGCAGCCTTGGGCTTTAATCCCCACCCAAGCAGATTCATGGATCTGGATGAACTGCAAACTCAAGGTAATATGTGTATCAGATAATATGTGCTTGGAAAAATTATAATAGAAAGCATACTAATCTGCTATGCATTCAGAAAGAAAAACATATGAACTGTAAAAAAAAATTTTTTGTAAAGAATCGTTTTTTGGCATTATTTAATAAATCGAGGCAAAAAAAGCACTAGTAGAATAAAAAAGACAAAAGAAAAAACCAATTCAAAATAAAATAGTAGCAACTATATACAAAGGCTTCTTATATATGTAGATATGCATGTAAAATTTATTCAATAGTTACAGAGTTTTGTTGGAATTATCCATAAGATGATTAAAGGCCTGGAGACTAAAACATATGAACAATGGCTGCAGGATTTGGGTTTGGCTAACATAAAGAAAAGAATTAGGGATGACATGATAGTGGTATTCAAGCATTTGAGGGGCTGCCACAAAGAAGAGGGGATCAAATTCTACAAAGCACCAGAGGGCAGGGCAAGAAACCATGACTGGAAACTAACCAAAGAGAGAAACAACCTGGAATTAAGGAGAAACTTCTTAACAGTGAGGGCAATGCGAACAACAGTGAGGATAACAGTGGAACAAGCTTGCCTTCAGAAATCGTGAAAGCTCCATCACTGGAGGTTTTTAAGAAGATTAGATAGTCACATCTGAAATAGTATAGGTTTTCTTGCTTGTGCAGGGGACTGGACTAGAAGACCTCCAAGGTCCCTTCCAGCTCTGTTCTATTCTATATTTAATGTACTTCTGTAAGCATTGTATTTATATATCACAGGTTTTCAATCTACTGATTAATTGGGACCATAAATTTATTTGTTCAATATTGAAGTAAACATTGGAGAAACTTTCTTAACAATAAGAATGCAAAGGATAATCCTTTGCCTAGCCTTCAATTTCAATGGCTCTCAAAAGAATACCATAGGACATTACAAAGAAGTTAAAATTAAAAAAAAACATTCATTCATTCATTCTCCAATTGCCTAATGATTTACTCAGTACAAATTTATTGGGAAACACTGAACTTTCAGAAGAATAAATAATATCATCAAGAGTCAGCATAATTTAAAGCAAGAGCATACCACCAAGAAAAAAATACATTTCTAATTTAGATTTAAATTTAAAAATTTGTAAAAATCTTAATAACATATTCAAACCTTATCTAATATAGATGCCGCTCAGAAATCATGGGATTGAAAGAGACCTTAGAAGTCTTATAGTTCAACCCCTTGTATAAGGCAGTAATAATTAGACTATTACAGCAAAGGCTTATCCAGTCTTTATTTGAAGCCTTCAGTGATGAGCAATCGCAACTTCAGGAAACAAGCTGTTCCACTACTTAATACGCAGCTGTAACAGTCAAGAAATTCCTTCTTATTTCAGGTTTCAATTTCTCTCTACAAAGCTTCCATTCACTGGTTCTTATCCTAGTCTCTGTACCAATGAAGAATAAATCCATACCCTCTTGCTTGTGATGGTCTTCAAATATTGAAAGGCTGCTCTCATGACTCTTTTTAAGTCCTCTCTGGCCCTTTTCTTTCAATCATTTTTCATAGGATTTAATTTCCAATACTCTGTGTGTACTGCAGCTCATTATTAAGTTGATTTGTAAAACTGGGTTTCATTAGCAGGTTAATAAGACCCAGTTCCAACCCTCTGTGCTGTGTAACTTCCCTTGTTATTGTGGAAAGAATTTTATTTTAATAATCAATAGTAATCATAGGATATTTTTTATTCCAAATTAACTATTTCTCTCGCTGTCTCACCTATCCCTTAACCATTAACACAAATCCATGATCCACTGAAATTGGAAATTCTGGGAGGTACATTGTAACAACAGATTGCTACATTGCATCTCTGCTAAGCTATCAACTGACAATAGCAGAATAGGGCAAGCTATCAGGAAATCGACTGAGTCGTGCACTAGAAGCAGCACATACACCATACACCTCAAGCCCATACCAAGGACCAGTCCCCCTTATAAAACAAGTCTCTGTACCCAGGAGAAGGATTACAAGTTTGTAACAACCGGTTCTGTGAGCATGGAAAGGTGGGCGTGGCCATGTGACTGGGTGGGTGTGGCTTTTGGGGGGACAGTAACCTCCCCCCATTTTGGGGCCTTCTGGGCCTCAGGGAAGCCTCCTGGAGGGCACTTTTCCTCCCAGAAGACTTCCCTGGGGCTCAGGAAGGAAAAAAAGCAGAGCATGGGGGGGCATGCAGCACTCTCTTTTGGGGCCTTCTCGGCCTCAGGGAAGCCCCGGGGGGGGTTGCTCCCAGACGGCTTCCTTGGGGCTTAGGAAGGAAAAAAATGGAGCCTGGGTGGGATGCGCAGCACCCACCCCGCTCCATTTTGGGGCCTCCTGGGCCTCAGGTAAGCCTCCTGGGAGGGACGTTTTTGCTCCCAGGAAGCTTCCCTGGGGCCCAGGAAGGTTCCTGGGCAAAGCAGTAAGTAAGCGAGGGGAATCCTGGAACAGCTGATCATAGGTACAGCTGATCGTTGGGAGGGAAAGAAAAAGAACTACCTTAAGGAGTGACAGGCCTGGGAAGAATGCAGTCAGAGATGTCGGGCATGCACACAATGTTGAAGAATGCAGTCAGCGATGTCGGGCATGCACACAATGTTGCGCATGCGTGATAAGGACTGACTGGGAGGGGGGGGGGGCGGACGGAGAGGGAGGGAGCTAGCCAGGGGTACCATTTGCTGGTTCTCCAAACTGCGCAGAATCATAGCAACTTAGTTCTATAGAACCAGTCTGAACCGGTTTTAATCCAACCCCTGTCTGTACCCGATTTTCTCTGTAGCTGCTCCACGAGTGTGCCTCTCTTTGGTGTACGTCTCAGTAAATAAATTGCTGCTGGTGCTTGCAATATCCCAGCTTAGAAAAGAGACCTAGAACATTATTTTAACATTATACATGCCTTTGCTTCTGATACATATTTCTAGCATTGGTTCCAGAGGTTTCAAAGAACTAAAGTTCAGGATATGTGATCTGCAATATGAATATTAGAAAAAAGTCTGGTCATCCAAAAGGGTGGGTATGGGAGGTGGCTGTTTAGATGAAGAGGGAAAGAAGTCTGGAATGGAAACCAAGAATGCTGCCCTTGCAGGGAGGACTGGTGGCTTTGAGAGGCCTATACAAGAGGCAGATTCAGTCTTCCAAGAGTCACTGCATCAAGAGCAGAAGGGAGATTGTGCGGCAGCTTTGGCTCTCTGCAATGAAGCTATATGTAAGTATTTATTAATTGCTTCAGCTTACTCTATTTTGTACAGTTTACTAATATCTACCGTGTCTCTTCAACAATACGGTCTCTCCCAATAAGAAGTCCCAGCATGTTTTATAGGCATAAAATCAAGTTAAGCCCCTCCCCCAAAATTAAGGCCTATATTAAACATGCGAAATGGGGGTGAATGGCGGGGGGACTTTCTGTTAGGAACTACTTTTGTTGCATACCCGGATATGGTGCTGCCTGCGTTGACTTCGCTGTTGGTGGGGCACTTCATATCGGGAGACCTTCCGCCACCATTGCTTTCCCTTCTCCCTGTGCTGCTGCGGCATTTAAAGCAACGCCTCAGCGTTTGACGCAGCCACACGCGGCCAGCCAGGGCTCCTCCCTGCAACCGGAGCCCAGCGGAGACACTCGGCTTTAGGCGTTCCTGTCGCCACCTTCCCTTTGCCTTTGAAGGCAAACCCAATTCTTTTAAAAACGACACCCTACTACCGGTACGACAAAGCCTCCCCTGCCCGAGAGGGCAGCCCAACACCACGTGGGGAGGCAAATCTCCTGGGGCCGCAGCGCAGGATCGGCCCACTCCGGGAGAAGTGCCCGGCCGCCATCCCTGCCTGACGCCGGGCAGAGCCTGAAGAGCTTCACACGGGGCTCCCAGCACAGCTGACAGGTGGGCCCTCCTGCCCGGCGGCGGAGCTCTTGCCAAGTCAGCGAGTGCCTCCCCGCCGGGCCCTCCGCTCATCCCGCCAGGGCCGCGCCAGAGCCATGCGGGCTGGGCAGAGCCGAGAAAGCGAGCCGCGGGTGCGCACTCACCTGCCAAGCGAAAGAGCCGGGCCGACCCGAGCTTGGCTTCCTTCCCAAGTCCCTCCAGGCTGAACCCGAAGGGGCCACCAGGAGAGGCCACCCGAGGCAGTGATAGTGCCCAACTATCCATGGACAGGGAGGCAAGGCAACGGCCTGTGCCGCGGCCTCCTCCAAGCTGAGCCCTGCTGAGTGAGCGCCTCTGCCCAATGCGCATGCCGCTGCAGAGTTTGGAGCTGCCGGTGCATTTGGAGATGCGTGGGGACAAGGACGGGCTGGGTGAGGGGTGGAAAGGACGGGCAGCTTTGGGCTCTCTCCACGGGTCCAGCGCTGCCGTCACTTTGCCTCCCTGTCCACGGACAGGTGGGCGCTATCACTGCCCCGGGCAGCCTCTCCTGGTTGCTCTAAACACCGCGGCAGCACGGGAAGAAGGGAAAGCAATGGTGGCAGAAGGTCTCCCGATACAAAGTGCCCCACCAACGCCAGGGTCAACATCGAAGCCGTCGCCGCTCTCCTGCCCGAGGAGGTAAGGGGTGGAATTCAGTCACCCCCGAAAAGACGGCCTAGCCGTTTTTTCGGGGCTCCAAAAAAAATAAGGCCCAACCTTATTTTGTGAGAAACACAGTATTAACATAACCCAAGTTAACAGAATTAACGGTTTAATGCAAACTAACATTCAGAAAGGGAGCGATGTAAAAGATGTCTTTTTCTGATTTTTTTGTTATTTCTTCCTTGTAATATCAGAATATGCTATTCTTTTTTTATTACTGGGGTTCCTTCTGTTGAAAGGTGAGCAAGGCAGATGAATTCTCGATGCTACCTATTCTGCTAATTATGCTTTCCTGCATTTTCTCCTGCACATAATTTTCTTAGTTCAGAAACTAGTTTATCAAAAAGTTTTAATAAAGCATGAAGTTGCTCAAACATACAAAAATAAAAACGTATACAGTCGTTGAAATATCAAGAAGATGAGGAAAAGGAGGGGTCATTGTTTAAATATGTGCTGTAACTTTTGGGAATTTGTGCTGCTGCATTTTTTTTATTTTCATATCTCATATTTTTGATTGGCTAATTCTCCTTCCCATCTTCCATTCTCTTCTTGCTGGTTAGCAAGGTTGCAGACAAACTGGCTTTGGATGATTAACAGCATTTGTTTCTAGTAATCTTCTATAATGGATTGACAAAACAAGAAATCAAAAGCAGACTTCATGAAAGCTTGCCAGCAAATGTCTCACCTGGCTGCCTATTATTGGGTTTCAGCTAACTGGGACTAGAGACAAGTATTTGGATTTAAAGGGTTAGTTACATGAGGGTTACAGTGACTTAAGTCACCAAGGGCATTTCATTAAAAAAAAAAAACCCATTCAAAATCTTTTTTACTATTCAAAATCTAATTTTACTATTTTATTTGTCATTAACTTGTTTGGACATGTAGCTAATATGAATGTGCCTCATTGGGAAGAAATGCATCCTTGTGAACTTTTTCATGGCAGTATTTGCATGTTCCTTTTTATTTTTTTGTTGCATCATTACTTTTTGCTCTCCTTCCCCGAGTTTTGCTTTTGTTTCTGCTATGTTTTCTTTTGCTTTTTAGCTAAACTAAGACTTGCCATGCATGATGTCAGCTCTAGCACTCAGAGCAGAGCTCTAATCGATAAGAAGCTGCAAATCTATGTCCGAAAAGAGCGGAGCCTTCAGGATCGCATGCAGCAACAGCAACCTGTACAACCGCCACCCACCTGCCACCCACCATCGGGCGGCAACATGACCCAAACTACAAGGTAGACCAAAAAAATCTGCCATTCTCCAGATCTGAATTGGGCCTGATCTGGAAAGAAGCATTGAACAATAAGTTTCCCCTGTTATTATTTTACTCAGATCTTTTTACACTTTGATGCAGGGTTAGTATCTACAGTATGGATCCAGCTGGGAAGTGACAATATAATTGGGAAACTGTGAACCACATAAATTCAAAAATAAGAGGGCATGCATATTACTGCACAGAAATTATGTGTGCCAAAGTTTTCTGTGAAATCTTTAATCAATAGCTACTCCTTCAGTTCTTTCGGTTGTTTGTTTCTATGGCTTAAAGTGGGCATTAGTTCGGGATAAGTATCTGTATCTGTGTCATTAGCAGCTTTCCTGAACTATTTAGAATTTTAGAAATGTCTGTAAATTTATTAAAAAGAAAAAAACCCGGAAATATCACATTGGCATAAGTATTCAGATCCTTCATTCGATACTTTCTTTATTGAAGCACTCTTGGCAGCAGTTACAGCCTCAAGTCTTTTGGGATATGGCACAAGCTTTGCACATCTGGACTGGGGGATTTTCTGCCATTCTTTCTTGCAAATCCGCTCAAGCTCAGTCAGGTTGGATGGCAACCATCAACGGACAGTCATTTTCAGGTCCCTCCTGAAGATGTTCAATAGAGTTTACGTTAGGGTTCTGGCTGGGGCACTCTAGGACATTCACAGAGTTGTCCCTAAGTTACTCCTGTGTTATTTTGGCTGTGTGCTTAGGATTGTCGTCATGTTAGAAAGTGATCCTGAGCACTGTGCAAAAGGTTTTCATTGAGGCTGTATTTTGCTCCATTCAGCTTTCCTTCAACCCTGACCAATCTCCCAGTCCCCCGCTGCTGAAAAACACCCCCATAACATGATGCTTCCACCACCATGCTTCACAGTTGGGCATATTGGACAGGTGATGAGCAGTGCCTGGTTTCCTCCAGACATAAAGTTTAGAATTGAGGCCAAACAGTTCAATCTTAGTTTCATCGGACCAGAGAATCTTGTTCCTAACAGTCCGAGAGTCCTTCAAGTGCTTTTTTGCAAACTCCAAGCAGGCTTTCTTGTATTTTGCACTGAGGACAGGCTTCTGTCTGGTCACTCTGTCATAAGCCCAGATTGCTGGAGGGCTGCAGTGATGATTATCCTTCTGGAACTCTCTCCCATCTCTACACTTCTCAGAGTGGCCTTTGGGTTCTTGGTCACCTCTCTTGTTAAGGCCCTTCTCCCCCAAGTGCTCAGTTTGACCCTGTGACCAGCTCTTGGAGGAGTTCTAGTCCCAAACTTCTTCCATTTGAGAATTATGGAGGCCACTGTGCTCTTAGGGACCTTCAGTGCAGCAGAAATTTTACTGTAGCTTCGCCCAGATCAGCCTTGCGATAATCCTGTCTCTGAACTCTGCAGGCAGTTCCTTTGACCTCATGGCTTTTGATCTGCTACAGTATGCATTGTGAGGCCTTCTATAGAGAGATGTGTGCCTTCCAAACCATGTCAATCAATTTAATTTACCGCAGGTGGATTCCAATCAAGATGTAAAAACATGCCAGCAGTGATCAAGAGACACAGGAGGCCCCTCAGCTAAATTTCAAGTGTTATTGCAAAGGGTCTGAATACTTATGCCAATGTGACATTTCAGTTTTCTTTTTAATAAATTTACAGATATTTCTAAGCTTCTGTTTTCACTTTGTCATTGTGAGGTACTAAGTGTAGATTAATGAGAAAGAAATGAATTTCAACAAGTGTAGAATCAGACATAACAAAATTGACAGATGTGATAGGGGTCTAAATACTTTCCGAATGCATTGCAAGTTAAATCCACCCCTCTTTCACACACAAAATCACACATACACACAGAGAACAAAGAAAGATTTGTATATACACATATATAAAGAGAAAAAATGCTTCTTTTGATCTTGACACTACCGTATAATTGTATGTTCTTCTTAGCAGCTTAGCAGCATCACACTATTGATTCATATTTAGCTTGTAGTCCAGGTCATTTTCAAGTGTATCAAAGCCCATATTCTGCAGGCATACTTGGTTTAAAAAAAAAAACTATTCCAGTGTTGAACTTTATCCCTGGCAAAATTAATTTTGTTGATCGTTGTTGATTGTTCCAGCTTGTCAATATCCTCCTGAATCTTTATAATTTCAAAGGTCCTCTCTATGTTTGTGTAGTCTGCAAATTTGATATTTTCTAACCACTCATTCAAGTTATATGTTCAAGAGTGGAAGTATAAGAATGGAAATCCATAAACCAATTGACACTTCTCTCAATTTTGACCCAGGGCCATTTGAATTAATTGGTGGAGGGGCATTCAGTCAGCCACTTTTGTACCCATATAATGGTAGCACAATCTAGCCCATTCTTATCATCTTCTCTACAAGAACTTTATGAGAGCCTTTGCCTTACTTTGAGACCCTTACATTGTTGAAGTCTACCACATTCTTATTGCCAACTAAGCTGGTCACACTATCAAATCAGATTCATTTGACGTGATTTATTCTTGATAAACCCATGTTGGTTTCTAATAAACAATGCTGGTTTATAAAATTCTCACCTTCTTAATAATCTATGCTACTTGAGGTCCTGCAGTAGGTACAGATATAGAAGATTCTATATCCTAAACTAACCAGGTATTTTTTTTAGTTTTAATAAATATTGGAATATTATTCTAAATAATCCTTTCTGTTTGTTGGGTATAGTTGTTAGTTTTTAATTCTTTTTTTATCTTAAAATTACCATGTTTTGGCAGTGCAATCAGGGTTTTCTGAATGACTGTAAATAATTGTTTGGGAAGTATATGTGGGAGTTTCCTGTACTTCCAAAATTACTTTTTGTTATTTGAACTTGAAAGATTTTAGAACAAGCAATATTTTTTTCATAAGCAAAAGAGCTAGAATTTTTCCCTACCCCTTATGATTTCTCTGAAAGAGACCTGGATATTTTTATACCAAATTGTTTATTGTGATATCTTCGATTATGTATCATAATAGTAACATGATAGCCAATAACAAGAATATGACCTTAAGCAGAAATTATAGCAAACTATAAATCAGGATCAGATATACATTATAAGCATCTCATTAGGATCTTTATCTGTTTACAATAATGTAAACAACCAAGTCACAGCTGTCAACTCTTTAGAATTGAATTCTTCCCAAGAACCTAGTCTGTTGTAATGTATTGGCATGGTATATGTGGAATCCTTGTGGCCTTTTGCAGTTGACAAGATTTTCTCAGTAGCAGCCAGTAATGATTTAGGCTAGATTTGGCATTTTTATTCACTTATCAAGTCCTTCCCAAGGACCTGGGATAGGCAGACGTTGTTTGTTAAAGTTGTTGTTATAATATAGGAAAATGACTAGTTTAAGGATCTTTTCATGTAGTTTCCAGCCTTCTCTTTCCTTTTTGCAAAACTACATATTTATGGTCAGGGACTGCATGTATCATTCAGAGGGCAATGAAGTAAAATGTTTGGGCCATCTTTTCAAAATAATGTTAAACTAATTTTCATTTACTTTGAACCAGTTTGTTTATAGTGGTTAAGACACAAGGTGTAGTCGTATTTGGGCATCAAATGTCCTTGGGTCATTCACTCTCTCTCAGCCCCAGATAGGGGGCAACAGAAACCACTTCTGAAGTCTTACTGAGAAAACTGAAGCTGCTGTCAGGAATCAACACTGACTGGAAAGGTGCGAGCAAAAAAAAAAAAAAAGCTCGATTAATATTGCCTCAGTTTTCATAATTGTCCTTGTGGTTTCTGGTCATGGGAAAATAACTCACCCAGCATACATTTATTATTACAATCCCTTGTTTTTACTGTCAAAGAGTTGTGATATTTATAATAAGTGGAACTCATATTAAAGAGTTTTTCAGAGTTTGTTCACAGCAGTGCAGGTTGTTAGCCTAATTTAAACGTACTTAGTTGTAATACAATTATGCATAAAAATAAATAAATAAACTGATTTCCCCATACTATTTTATGCATAATTTTATAATATTCATTTAAAAATAAACATGTTATCTAATTAACATTAGTGTACACTATTTCTATATATGTAGTCACTATTTCTCAGTAGATGTTGATTGCATCATATTGTAAATGGTTGACATTTTTTGAACATTTACAGATGGGGAAAAGAGGAAAAAGAAGAATTCTACTATAATGTGATATGTGATTGTAATTCTGGTACAGTAAAGAATTACATGTTCTTAGTCCACGATGAGGATATTTTCCATTTGACTCATCTTCAAAACTTCAAGAATATATACATACATTCCTGAGGTTGAAATTGTTGATCATATTTTTCAATAAAAAAATATTTTTACCAAAATAGGTAATTGTTCTTGGTGCCATTCTGATACCAGAAAAATTTCTTATCAGGTTAGCAATTCTGTATGCAATCATGCAACAATTTTACACTCACAGATACCTGATACTCTGATAGATTTATGTACCTTTTTAATTAGTACTAATATTATGTACCTTTTTAACTTAGCCTAATATTTCTAATTAGGAATCATCAGTCACTGATGATGATCTTATGTGTGCTTCAGTAAACAGACTATCCCACTCCAAGTACTGCTGAAACAGAAGAGAGGGCTGGAACCTAGCAAAGAAGCGGCACCTGGGCCAAGATCCTACATCCACCCACTTGCTTCCCATCCTGAAAAGAAATCATATTCCAAACCCATATTTCAACCTCTTCTTGAAAACAGGCTGAACTTTCAAGCTGCATCTGTTACTTTCAGTGACCAAGCTACTACTTTTTCTTATAGACAACCTGGTAGTGACCAGTCCATTCAGACTAAGACTGAAATTGATGGTGATGTGAAACTTGCTTCTCCTAGCACTTTAAAAGATTATGAAGATCACAACAGTAATATTAAGGTCAAGAACCTACATAATACAGGATCCCCTCTCACCTCCAACTGCAAAATGAATTTAACTATAACGAACTCTGAATCATTACCTACACTCTTCCCCTCTTCACCACCACTGGAAAGTCCACCTGACAAAAAAGGCCAATCTAGTCAGCTTTTCAGTTCAGGAAGCATTTCAGAATGGCCTAGTGCTGCTCCACCTGGGGACTACCATGGTGCAATACTGCCTTCTCTTCCCCCTCTGCCTCATTATGCTCCAGAAGAATTAAAGATGACTGGGCAACTTGGGGGTTTACATCATCCACAAGAACTTGTCAGTGGGGATTCTTTGAAATCTGAAAGTGTAAGTAGCAAAAGGCCTGTTCTTTCTATTGCGGAACAGTTTCAATGGTTGGAGGGAAATTTCCAAAGGCTAGATACGTATGAGGAAAAAAGGAAGGCAGCTACCTGTCATGATCAAAATACTCCGAAGTTACAGCAGGAATCCTACAGTAGTCATTTTTACCTCAAGCTGTCAGATGTTGGAAGACAGGAGAATGGAATTGCACCTGCTGAAACGTTGGACACAAGTCCAAAAACAAAATATACCAATTACAGAAATCCTGCTGGCTCGATTTCATCTGTGGCTATAGAGAGCTGCACAGATCATGTTAACAATTTTAGCACAGCAGTAACTCAGCATAAGAATGCCAGTTGTCTTTTAATACCTGGAAACAAATCACCTGTGATCGGTCAAAGAGCTTTTGAGGACTACCCAGTGCAGAATCAGGAAACAGTACAGGAGGTTTCTGAGCTGGAGTCTCTGTACCAGGCCAGCATGCAAGTTCCTCTGTTGAGAAATCTGGACAATTCCAAGCTGGCACTGAACAAAACAGGTAAAATTATGTTATAATTTTATGTATAGTATTTTCTTAGGGTTAGGTTTAGTTTGCATTAGGCTGACTGATACATTAGGAGAAATGTACTGCATTTCCTAAATATAAAGTATTTGAGCACAAACATTTTTGAAACAAGGTTTGTTAAAAATATGTGCCAGCATTTTTATGTTATATTTAACAGAACTGTTTTGATGCTCAACTGTGTTATTCTTTATTTACTGCACAACATTTCTTATGAAAAGGACATTGATTAAAACTCTCAAAAACTGACACCTCTCTTGGAAACAAAGTTTTTTGGGGGGCAAGAGTATGTTGTTCTTTGTGATATCTGATCCTCAGGGGATTGCCTTGCAGCAATTCTCTCCTCTGATCTCTGTGAAATAAAGTATATCTTCTTACTTTTCTATGTGGAATTTCATTTTATGTGATTTAATCAATTTCCCTGAGATGAAAATAGGAGAAGCTTACAATAATAAACAGAAAAACTGACTTTAATTATGGTGAATATTTAGATGAATGATTTAGATCAGCAGTCGCCAACTGGTAGACTGCGGCCCACTGATGGTCTGCGAGAAAATTTTGGTGGTCCGCAGAGAAATGTCACCCCCAGAGTACCTCCCCATCCAGGCGGGGCAGGAACATAAGTCTATGCCACCCACATGGTCCACCCTCCCCGCCCACTCACTCCTTACCTGGCAAACTTGCCTGCTAATTTGCTATTTTTCCTTTTTCCGACCATCAGCTGTTCTGCTGTGCTGGGAGATTTAGATTAGCTAGAGAGCAGGAAATTGTTGGATTTCTTGCTTTCTAGCTAATCTTTAGATCTTCGACTCTGCTTTCAAGCAGAACCAAACCTTCCTTAGGACTGAAGCAGTGCAGACTCAGCTAGCAGATGGCAGAAACACAGATCTCTAAGTGAATCTGTGATTCTGTGAGCAACTCAATCTGCCTGCCTGCTTTGCCTGTTTTTGGGTAAAAGTTGCTCTCTTTTATAAAAAATTCAACATTTTATATATTTATTTATATAATATTTATATAAATAAATATTTATTATATTTATTACATACAAGCCATGCCCAGCCAGTCATATGACCACCAAGCCACACCCACAAATTAGGCCATGCCCACAGAACCAGTTGTCAAGCAATTTGAATCCCACCCCTGCCTCTGTGTGTTTGTGTGTGTGTGAGAGAGAGGGAGGGAGGGAGAAAGGTTAGATCAGATCTCTCTCTCTCTCTCTCTCTCTGTCATAAACTGACATCTATTTCCTGTCAGTTATTACACTTCCTCAATTTTCATTTTAGGGAAATTAATTAAACCATATAAAATGGAATTCCACATAGAACATTAAGAGGATATATTTTATTTCATGACCTAAAAGATCATGCAGGCAGAACTTCAGTTTAATCTTCTTTATTTTTTCCTTCCTCTTCTCCCCTGTATTAGCAAACTTGCCTACAAAAAAGATGTATAGGGGTCTGTCAAGAACAGCAGAACCTGAAAACAACATCTGTGGAAATATGAGTTCTCCAGATCCTAAGATACATGTAAGGATATGCTAGAATGGGAACTGGGTTATGGGAATGCTACTTGTACAGATGGAACAAATGTAAGGTAATAAAGTAGAAATATTTTTTAAAAATGTTAACATTAAACATAATGTTTAGATAATAAACATTTCAGATAGAGTGTTTACAGTTTACAGTTAATGTAAGAGATTATTACTAGTAAGATCTTAGATACAGTAGCAGAATGTGTAATCCTGTCGTGTTTTTATTTTAAGTTTATGATAGATTGCTATAGCTTACTATTGCAACTGATTACAACATAAAATGCATTTTTCTACCTTGAGATATTTATCAGAATCCATTATAACAGTGAATTATTTAGATAGGGCCACTTCTTGTAACAGTCCTGGGGGTTTTCCAGGTCTTTTTATCATCGTTGCACATATCACACCGCTTTTCACATAGCTTTCAATGTCCTTTTTCATTGCTGGTCACCAAAATTGGCTTTGCACCAGATGCCGCAAATCCAGAGTGGCTGACTTGCTTGGAATCATGATTTCTTTGCAGAACTTGGACTCGGAGGGGTCCAAGTTTTGGACCTTTTGATGCCAATCCGTATTGAGAGATTAAGAGTTGTTGGTTGCAGGAATCAGAGGTTGGTTTGCAGCTTGGCTCTGAGCTTTTGAGTTAGCTCTTCCCCTGGCTTGCTCAATCTCCTCCAAGTTTGTTGCCTCGTAGTGACTTATGCTGCCTTCTGGGTGATGGGAATGGTGGCATTGACTTCACACTTACTCTTGTACTGGGGCATTTGGGACAAGGCAACCCGCTAGGAAGTTTTTCCCTCCTGGGAGGTATTTCAGTGTGAAGTTGAATCAGTTAAAATACTGCGCTCATTGGACTTGTTTGGGAGACAGCTTCCATGGGGTCCTAAGGGCCTCCAGATTTTTATGATCAGTCCATTATATCAAACAGCACTTGGCTCCCTTTTAGGAAGTGCCGCCAGGTTAATAGTGCCCAATGGACTGCAGAAGCCTCTTTCTGCCCACCTTCGTTCAGTGTCGGTGAGTTTTCTAGAAGTGTAGGCACATGGTTGGAGGTTCCCCTCCTTGTTTTTCTGGAGGAAGACTGCCCTTCTGGCTACATTGCTGTCATCTGCCTGAACCTTCTTGGGGATTGGGTGCTTTAGGACCAGTTCCTCTGCGAAGGAAACTCTGTTTGAGTTTCTGAAATGCTCCCTTGACGGTCCACTCTAGCTGGGTACACTTTTATATGGAATCTCCCTTTTTTAAAAACTATCATCTCTTACTCACATTAAAGCCTTAATTTTTCGCTTCTTAGCTTGTCTTCCATATTCCTCTTTTAGATTTTCGTCTTTATCTACTTGATCCTTCCTCTTAAACATTTCTTCCCTCTCTATTACGTTCCATTGACTCGTTATCTACTCTCACCCCTATCTTTCTCTGCAAAAATTCTCTGTGCAATTCCAATTCCTGTTTAACTTCCCTTATAAGTACCCTTCCCTTGATTTACAGCAAGGGTCTTTAAACTTGGCAACTTTAAGACTTGTGGACTTCAACTCCCAGAATTCCTGCGTTAACATGCCTGGAGGAGGAAATCTGGGAGTTGAAGTCCACAAGTCTTAAAGTTGTCAAGTTTGAAGAGCCCTGCTTTACAGCAATCATTATCATTTTTATTTCTTTTTTGTCTCCAATTGCTCTTTCAGGTGGCTCCTCTTCTCCGTCCTCTCCAGGACCTGTCTTGTGCCTCAATTTCCAGCTCTGCGTCCATGCTTTGTATTTTATTCAAAATGTCCTCATATCTTATCAAAGTATCTTTTATTTCCTGGATTTCCAACACTATTTCGTTGCAAATTCCACTCATTTTTGTTTTTGTTTGTTTTATTTCATTCTGGCCAATTGTCCAACCATCCTTTATCTAAACCAAATCCACTTTTCAAACTAAAAATCCAATATCCAATGTCCAGGAATTTTTATCTCCCAAAATTAATCAATCAATCTCTTCATTTAAATGGTCCAAGGTTGAAATCTTCACAAATCCCTCTATTATTCAAGTCTAATATTGTAGTTTTCAGGGGTCTTTTAATAATAAAATTCTCTTATTTCCCACTTTTAGTTCTCCATAAACCAGGTCATTCAAACTTTGGAAATCTGTTGTTTCTTCCTTTGGCACAGGTGGCACTCTTAAATCAATTTCCACTTTGTCTTGCAAAGATTTTGTCTTGCAAAGAATATATCAGACTTCACTGATATATTCCAAATATATCCAAAAATGAATAGTATGTTCATTTTTATATAGATTTCAGCATTTTTAAAAAATGCCTGTCCAAAGTCTGCCCAATCTAAAAATCCACTTTTCTATATTTTTAACAAATTTATTATTTTCTTCCTTTATTTCCTTCCTTCCATTTTTAGAGTTATAGCATTTTGCTCATTACTAATTAGGTTGCTGCCACTTTAAATGTAATTATGAGTTCCAGACACCATCACTAACTCTACTCCTGCACCCTTCTTAAGTTAACTGTTTCCCGCTGTATGGCGGCCAACAGTGTTCCAATATTGGAGAATGCCAAAGAGTGGGGGGGGGGGCAGTCTCTTTTCCAAAACACCTGAAGGCAAGACAAGAAACAATGGATGAAAATTAAGGAGAAATTCAACCTAAAACTAAGGAGAAATTTCTTGACAATGAGACCAATCAACCGGTGGGAAAACTTGCCTTCAGAAATTGTGGTGCTCCATCACTGGAGGCTTTTAAGAAGAGCCTGGATAACCCCTTGTCCGAAATGGTATAGAGCAGGGGGGTCAAACTCGCTGGCCACGGCCATGCCCAGTTTAGCAAAGGGGGAAAAAGTTGTGATATGTCACATAATGTCACCATGTTTGACACCCCTGGTGTAGAATTTCCTGTTCGAGCAAGACCTCTTCCAACTCTGTTATGCTTTCCCTTCAGTTCTTCCTTTCCTTCTGATGAAGAATCCTGTTTAACAAGTTTGATGAATAAAACAACTTTAGCCTAAGAAATAATGGTATTTATTTTTATAATTGTATACCACCATCTCAACAGTTCTACACAGCTCATAACTATCAAAGCAGATTCAACCTGGTAATTAATAAAAACCTGAAATGAACTCAGTCCATGATGGTGTAGGAATACCTGACTCCTGTGATTCTGTACCTTCATTTACCCTGGAGTTCTCTTTCTGAATACAGGTGCCATGTACTGGCCAGGAGCCAGAAGAGGAAACGTACAGTGCAGAGAACTTCCGTCGCATTGCACGCAGTCTCAGTGGGACAGCCATCACAAGCAGAGAAGAGAAACTTGCTTCTTCTCAGAATTTTGTAAGTAAAATGGTTGAAAAGGAAATTATTTGAACGGCTGCATTGTATTGGTTCAGTGTGATTGCTAAAAGTTTTACAGGAAGAATACCTTGTTCTATGTTCATCCTGTAATCTTATCACATTTTATGGAAATACTTTCCTGCTGCTGTACCATTTGCAGGTATGATAATTAAGATTCAAAGGCCCTTTATTTAATTTTACATTTCTAGTGCCAGGATGTTCTAAATCAGGCTTGTCCAACCTGCGGCCCAAGGGCCGCATGCGGCCCAGGTCACCTTGTAATGCGGCCCAGTGCCCACCCCAACCTTTGTGCCAGAGCCAGTGAGGAGGAGGAGGAGGAGAAGCAGGCGCGAGGCAGGGCGAGGCGAGTGCCAGGCCAAGCAGCAACAGAAAAAGCAGGCGCCGTCAGAGCGCCACCTCCTGCTGTTGCCACCACCGCCATCGCCGCTGCTTCTGCCCCCGCCGCTTCTGCCCCCACTGCCACTTCTGCCCCTGCCGTCGCTGCCGCTTCTGCCCCCGCCGTCTCCGCTTCTGCCCCCGCCACCACTGCCCCCGCCGGTGCTTCTGCCCCCGCCGCTGCTGCTGCTGCTTCTGCCTTCCAGTCCTGCCTCATCCAGCCGGGCCATTTGCAGGAGGAGAGGTAGGTGCGAGGCGGGCGAGCTTTCTCCCCCCCCGCCCCGCAAAATTTGGCCGGAAAATAAACCATGATAAAAAAACCGTGATAAAAAATAAATAATTTTTAATAAATAATTAATAATAAAAACATCTCACTAACTTCATTTCCAAATAAATTTAATATGTTAACTATGTTTTCTATGGTTTTTTTGGATGATCAGGTATTGTTACTGTTATTTTATTTTATGTGCGGCCCAAACCAAATTTTCATCTTCTAATGTGGCCCAGGGAACGTGAAAGGTTGGACACCCCTGTTCTAAATCTAAACCACTGACTTATTTTCTAGTACATTCCCTTTGTGTTTGCTCCTTCTCTTTCTGTGTAATCTCTACATTTTACTAGCACCTGTGGAGAAAACTATTGTTTTTATTACTATTAACTTAGTACTCAGTAAAGTAACATCAGTAAAGGCACCACCAGTTGCTGTGATGTCAGTTCATTTGTTCCTTTTCAATACAAAGGTAATAATAAGGTCCATAAAGTCCAAAATATTGTTTCTTGAAAAAAGCTGTAATTTAATATCTTCACATTTTTCTGCTGCTTCTTTTTTTTCTGAATATTCACTGCTTCTCTCTTCAAATTATGGAATGCTTATTTTTTTACACTCTATAGCCAGCTGATTCTTAAATACACATTACTGAGTTTAGAGTTGAAAAGAAATGGATCAATTTCTAAAGAAACTCCAATGGAAAAAAAATTAGTAATTAGTGATTGACATATCTTCCTAGAAGTTAAAATATGAGCTAGTTGAACCTGAAGAATGGATATTTCTCAGTCTGTACATTACCATTCAGAATCTTTGAGGAATCTGTCTCTCCATTTGTCATAACGCTAAGATGCTACAACCATGAAGAGAAAAATGACCACAACAGAATGGAAATTGAAAACAATGGTATGTTTTCAAAGATGCATGGAGGTGCTTCAAATGTTCTGGTTGGGACTGTTCTGTTCCAGGTATCAAGCAAAATGTGGCTGTTCCAAGCAGGAGTGGTTCAGGGAATAGTTGGAAAAGGCCAGAACTGAGGAGTTTACTAGGCCATGTCAGTCATGAATTGCTAACACTTTAGAGGATAGACTCGAGATTCAGAAGGTCCTTGACAGACTAGAACATTGGGTCCTATTCAACATTGGATCCTATCCGTGGTGGTGGCAGCAACAGCTGAGGAGAGGGAGCAAGGCAGAGTGGAAAAAGAAGACAGTAGAAGATCGAGGAGTGTGGGGAATGGGGACCTTAGGGACGTGCTACAGCAGCTGAGGGAAAGGAGAAAGGAAATGCGCTGGGAAGTTAGCAGCAAATGGCTTGTGGGCATGCTATTCGGCCGTTGGGTAGCAGCAGCAGCAGCACCCAAGAGGAGGGAGAAATAGCAATGGTACTTAGACTAAAGCTCGAAAGTTTGACTTTTGAGGGTTTTGCAGAGTCAGCATATTGTCCTCCTCTCCCCAGAAAAAATTTGTGCCCTCATTTTACCAACCTCGGAAGGATGGAAGGCTGAGTAAACTTTGAGCTGCTCCGAATCAAACTCCTAGAATGAGCAGTGAGTTAGCCCGCAATACTGCATTCTAACCACTGCATCACCCTGGGTGCTGAAACAGTATATGTATTATTTCTGCTACAGTAGAGTCCTGGGGAATGTGATATTGTAAGTGCATTTTTTTCTCATCATATTCTAGTAACTTTTACTGGCCACCTGTTTGCCCTTGTTGATCCCAATTTTGTTATTTATTTATTTATTTGTTTACTTCTCTTTTTCCTTGTTTTAAAAGGAAGCGTCCAGTGAGAGGAACCTATCAGTAGAAGCCAGGTCCTATTCTTCCAGCACTACTTCTCTTTCCTTCCCTCCCAATTTGCCTCCTGTGCTCCCCTTCTACCCTCAACTCTCTTCACCTGAGCTGCAGCACTTCTCCCATGATGCTCCAGTGATTAGTATGGTAGGCAAGATGCAAAGACAATCAGGTAAATGACTGGGCTTTTAAAAAAATCTATTTCTAACCATTTTTTAGAAATACTAAAAGAGAAAAAATATGAATATAGAAATTGGTAAGTAGAGGTGGTATTCAGCAGGTTCTGACCAGTTCTGGAGAACTTGTAGTTTTGAGTAGTTTGGACAATCGGTAAATACCACCTCTAATTGGCCCCGCCCCCATCTCTTCTCTGCCTCCCATTGAGTCCCAGCTGATTGGCTGGGTCATCTTTCGTTGCCCTGCCCAGGAGAACAGAGCTGGAAAGCAGGTTAGGGGGGTGGGGAGGGAATAAGATTTTGCAGTATCTTTGCCCACCAAGCCACGCCATGCCACACCCCAGCCACGCCCGCAGAACCAGTAGTAAAAAATTTTGAATCCCACTACTGGTAAGTAGATAAAGAATTAATAACTAGAGAGATCCTGGAAAACAATAATCAAGTAGTACATTTGTGAGTACTATAAATGAACAAGTCAATTACTAGAAGTGAGCATGGGTTTGTTTGATCATGACAGACAAACCTTATTGGCTTCTGCAATACAGTAACTAAATTACTGTATTGGTCAGGGAAATGCTGTATACTTTACTTGGACTTCTGTAAGGGATTTGACAAAGTAGACCACAAACTCCTTGGTAGGATAAAACAGTGTGGGATAGACAGCACCAAGACCAGATAGATTTGTAACTGGGCTGACCAATCACACTCAGCATCAATGGAACTTGAGATAGTGTTCCAATACAGAATTGGTATCTTCACACACTCACCCCATTCGTTTGGAGATGGTGATAGCTTTGGCACAAAATCCTGACTGGAGACCCCTTAAATGGGGGGATCCCTATGCTACAATGCACAGAATTGTTATATGCAAAAGGCAAAAGGTCAGCCCAATTGTCCTAATGGTAGCACCTGAGGTACTGTTCCAGGATTGGGTTAGTTCTCTCACACACACTGTTAGTTAGATGGGAGGAGCTTAAGCCCTGGGCAGTTCCAACAGTTTCAAAAATTCCTGCCAAAACTGATGTAAATTGCACGCCTCTTTCTGAAATAATGTGCTCAGGTGCACCATGCAACCTATACACACGTTGTACGAAAAGTTTAGCTAACATCTTTGCGGAGGAGATCTTAGAACAGGGTACAAAGTGCACCTGTTTTAAAAAAAGATCAGACCAAATAACAGCGTTCCCTCTACTTTCAGGCAGTTCCACAATAAAGTCCATAAATATTTCTTTCCAGGGTCCCTGGGCCTGGCTACAGTCTGTAAAAGCCCTGTGGGCTTCCCCAGTGGTCTCTTTGCCGCTGCACAACTTGGACAGCTGGCCACATAGCTTTCAATGTCTTTCTTCAAAGATGGCCACCAAAACTGTCTCTTAACCAAGTGCAAGGGAAGGCGGGGTGTGTGTGTCCAGCAGTGGAACAGACCACCTGCTTCAGACTCATTCTTGGCGGCAAAGGCTTTTTGCAAAGATGGCAAAAGGCTTCAGTGTTTCAGATCTTCCCTCCATTTGCAAAGCCTTTTGCTGCAGATCTCTTCCAGGCCTCCATTTGCAGAGAACAGAGGCCTAAAGTACAGTGAAATCACGAGAGATCAGTAGCATGAGATCTCGTGCTACTGATCCCATGTGATCTTGTGGTACTTTAGGTCTCCATTCTCTACGTACTCAACAAAGGCTTGAAGTGCCAAAACTAGCCAAGAAAGTGAAGGCTCTCTAGTGAAGGCCATGGGCCAAGTGCCATGCGGGAAGGAGGGCGAATGTTGCAGAGCCTCCATGGTCATTCATAAGGACGAACAGCTGCTCTGGTGCTGCAACATTCGTAGTTTCGGGACTTGTTTGTAAACACTAGAGGGTGCTTCTTGTGTAACTTTGAATGTCCACTATGGGAATGCTCATAACCCAGGGATTATCTGTACAGGTTATTATCACAATTGAGACCAGAATTTTTATTGCTAAGCAGGGTCGTTGACCCCAATTTGCCATGATTAAGTCAATCACTGCCACTGTTAAGTGAATCCAGTTTCCCCCATTGACTTTGCTAGTCAAAAGCTGGCTGGAAAGGTCGCAAGTGGCAACTATACATGTCAATTGCCAAGCACCCAAATTTTGATCACATGACCAGGGGATGCTGTAACAGTTATGAGTGCAACCACCAGTAAGTCACTTTTTTTAATGCTGTTATAATTTTGAGCAGTCATTAACCAAATGATAGTTCATTTAATGGGAGGGCCTGTACACAAAAAGGCAGGTTTCCTTCAAATACTCCTACTCCAGGCTTGCTTTTTATGGGAAATCTGCAAGCAGTACGTCAGGGGTACGTCAGGAGTAAAGGCAAATGTCACAGTGGGGCTGCAAGGAGGGAGACAACAGAGGCAATGACAGGGGGAGGGGTCAAAATGGAAAGCCTCTGCTCACTTGTACACACGTGTGTGCACGCACACATGCACGCCCATGCAGGGGAGTCTCTTATCTCTCCCTTTGACATTGGTGAGGAAAAGAATAGGAGAGATAAGAGAAGCTGGGATGGGAGCTTCTTAAAGGGGCTGGGGGTGGGAGCTGGGGGGACAGGGCATGATGAGATCAGGTTGGGGGGATGTGCAGTCACAGTCCGTTGAGCACACACCAATGAATAGGTGGGAAAAAGAAACAAGCAGTCCAAAAAAGAGAGCTTTCATTAGTTTGCAGCCTGCCATCACATATGGTCTGTGTTGGGGGCATGGGGCTGCAAGGATTGAGACCCCCATGTGTGCATGCACACACACAAACCAATACATGCACAGGTCTGGGAGAGGTGAGCTGAGAGCCATGAAGAGGCCCATCAGGCAGGAGTCAAAATGGGAAGCATCTGCCCACCACTGCCTGCCTGTTCCCAGCTCTGCCGGGGCCTTCCCTTTTTGTTCACTCTCTCCTCCATTGCTTTTACATCAGGTGACTGTACACCTGATGCTGAAAGGGCAGTTCTGTTTCCATGCCCCCCACACACACCAGAAGCCATGTTCGCCACTATACCAGAAGCCGTACACCACTGCAGCATCCCCCCACAGCTCAAAGCACCTACGATCGCCCATCGCATGCCAGTTGTCTGGCATTGACCAAAGTATCTTGGCGAATGGAACAGGGTGGATGGCCAGGGGCCCATTGGCTGGGGAGAATAGCCGGAGGAGGCCCAGTAGAGGAGGAAAGCTGGCTGTAAATGGGCTGATGAGGGAGGCTGGAGGCAAAGGAGGCGCCGCCAAGGGTGGGAGACTAAAGCTCCTAGATCAGTGGTGGCTAATCTTTTTGGGCTCCTGTGCCAAAAATTGTGCTCGTACTTGCGCTTGCGTGCCAGCACTTAGAAGGCAATGTGCACACACCCCGTGCATGTGCACGCAATCTCCCCCCCTGCCTCACAGCTGATTTTCGGCCGGTTTGACACTCTTTTCAGCCTCCCAGAGGCTTGAAAAAAGTCTCTGCAGGCTTTTCAGGACGAATAATAGGCCTGTTTCGTCACTTCCAGTATTACAAGAAGTGATGAAATGGGCCTATTATTCGGTCTGCAAAGCCTGCAGAGGCTTTTTTCAAGCCTCTGGGAGGCCAAAATAGGCCTCAAACCAACCGAAAAATCAGCTGTAAGGTGCATGCATGCACAGCGAGGTAAGTTTGCCTGCAGCTTGTGTGTCAGCACAAATGGCTCTGCGTGTCACCTGTGGCATGCATGCCATAGGTTCACCATCACAATCCTAGATCCTCGAGAAAAAGTTCAATACTGATTGGCACAGACTGTAGAAGCTGCTAATTACATTCAAGAATGAAGCATTGCAGCATATATTTCCTGCTGAGGAATTTTTCCTGCGAGCTATTCCAGGCTTTCATTAGCAAATGATTTGGTCAGCTGTAGTTCTTCTGTTATGAGTAGTGTAGAATTAATTTCTTGTTTAGGATTGGTATTAAATATTGGTATTAAATATACAAAGACTCAGACTCCTTTCCTGGTATGTGGGGTTTTTTTTTTTTTTTTTGGTCTTCAACTAAAGATAGGTAAAATAATATTTTTCAATTTGTTAATTTTTCAGGAAATCAGAATAATATCCCAAAGTGTCTAACTGTGCCAGACAGGAATGCAGCTTTCCACACAGAAGACAAATCATGCATGCCACTGAATTATGGGAACCCCATTACCAACCAGGACCACTCCTCACAAAGGCAAACGTCTTTGAATACATTTTTAGACAGTGGAACATCAAATGCTTCCAACCACTGGCTACAGAGAAGTCATGCTGGCCAAGAGCTAGCTGCAGCATCAGACAGTGAAGCAGCACGTGGGGAATCTCCCCTCCAGATGAGCGAGGACTCACAAGAGTCTCTGCCCCAATGGCCGTTGGCTCTTGGGGCTCTAGGCTGGCGGCAATCTCCTGGCAGGAGTTATGGGACAGTCTCACATGGGGCTTCAAGGCACAAAGGCTTTCAGAGCTGCTTTCTGATTTCCCAGCAAGCCAAGGTCCGAGGCCCAAAGCGTGTCGATATGCCCCCGGATGAAGACTGGCGACAGCACACCTTTACTCCACAGCCGGCCATAAGAAGCTTCTTTGTCCACTCTGGAAATGCCCTGTAAAATCCTGGGTCGTGCAGCAGTTGCGTCCATGCACAGCTATGACTACTGAGATGGCACCCTTCTGTTGGGCTATTAGTTTTGAAAGGGGCTCTTGTCTGAACTGAAGATACTGAAATGCAATTGATAATAAGGTAGTGAGATTTTTTTTTTCAACTAGTTGTTGCCAGTTTTGTCTTTAAAATAGTTATGATTGCCGAAAACTAACTGCACTTTATTTCTTTGTATGTATTGCTGTTTTATAACAACCTTTTCAGCAATTCCATTCCTAACCTTTTGCTATAAGAAATGCTCAGTTGCAGTAGAACAAAGGGCGAGATTTGCATTTGGATTAAAATTAAATCCTCTTGGTGTTTTCTATAGGCTGTATTTGGTGAATTTATGTATCATGTTAAGTAGCACTAGAAAGCCTATGTGCCAATTTTCAATTCAGTGTTATGTTCTTCTGCTCCTATATTATATGCTGGGGGGAAGATTTCAGACCTTTCTAAGAATTGGCCATGTTCATAATGTAATAAGATACAGGCACAGATGACTCCTATAGGGGCTAGGGTGGGAGTGGTAAGAAGTTATGGCACCAGCCCATTTCTCATTTTTTTCAAAGTAGACTACTAGGATTTGAAGTAGCACGTTTAATAAACACAGAATCACTGTAACTATTTTAGGGTCTGACATACTTGCCTTTGTAAGTTTTTCAAAGAAATAAATGAAATAGTTATGTTTATTGAATGATTATTAATTGCTTTCTTATTTTCAGAAATGTGTTTCCCAAATTGGAGTAGTTCTTTCATTGCTCATTTTTTTCTCTTTGTGGTATTAAATATTTTATGGGTTGACTTTTATGTTATTTTGTGAATCTAGCTAAAGTAAGGCAATTTATGTGTTTTATAAGATTATGATTTACAGTAGATTGTGAATGATGCAGTCAATTTAAAGGCCCTGTTAAAGAAGTTAGTGTCCTCATCCTGTTTTTCATTCTTTTTAAGATTGTCTTTGCTTAACTGAAAGGAACATAGAGTACAATTGTAGGTGTGTCAGGAAAGCAACAGCTCAAAATGACAGACAGGTCATAGCAGAGAGCTCTGACACAACGTGATCCACTGGAGAAGAAAATGGCACCCACTCCAGTATCTTTGCCATGAATAGCCCATGGACAGTACCAAAAGGCAAAAAAATATGACACTGGAAGATGGGCCCAAAGGTCGCCCATCAGGTTGGAAGGTGTCCCATATGCTACTGGGAAAGAGCAGAGGGCTAGTAGCACCAGAAAGAATGAAGCGACTGGGCCAAAGCTGAAAGGATGCTCAGCTGTGGATGTAATGCATTGAGCCCCAAAAATCCATGCATAATATCAAAAAAATCATCTCACTTTTTTTTGAAGAGCACCAGAGCTGCCATCCTAGATTTTGCCAGTTGGTTGAAGCCCCTAGCTAGGTTTATCCATGAAGTACCTGAGCAACTCCATCTCTTTGGGCAATATGAGGAATAAACAGAGTGAATTAGAAATCCAAGTAAATGAGGGCAGATATGATATTGTTGCATTATGGAAACTTGGTGGGGTGAAACCCACAAATGGTTCATACAGCTAGATTCATACAGCTAAATTATTTAAAAGAAATAGACCAAATAAAAGAGGAAGTGGAGTTTCTTATATATAAGAAATAACTACATCTCTACAGAAATAGAGCACAACAATGAAAATTATCTTGATGCATTTGGGTCAATATTAAAGGGGAAAAATGACATTGCCATATAGGTCTTTCAAAGATCCTGGAGCACTGGGGAACTGCCAGAGGACTGGAAAAGAGCTGATGTAGTTTCCATCTTCAAAAGAGGAAAAAAAATAGATCCAGGAAAGTACAGACCTATCAGCCTGACCTCAATACCAGGGAAGATTCTGGAAAAGATAAGATAATCAAGCAACGAATCAGCGAACACCTAGGAGCAAACAAAAGTAATAACCAAAAGCCAACATGGGTTTGTTAAAAACAGATCATGCCATGGTGCTGATATCCAGGTTTTGCTGTGGCTTCAGCTTTTCGTTCCATCCCAGACATAGTTAGGTTACGTTATCTTGGAAGCATCCAAGTAGGCTGCATTAAGTTAAAGTGGTTTAATGTCAACTATTCAAGTAGCAAACCCAAAAGAAGGAAACACTCTCAGGAGATTTGAATTCCCAAAAGTAAAACTTTATTGGATACGCCATATTGGTACTGAAGAAACAAAACCAACTCTGGTTTTCCCATGCAAATGCTTGTCCAGTTAAACAATAATTTCCCCTTCTCTCTACCCCGGGTCCAATTAAGAGACATTCTTGTGTTATGGAAACAGCCCATCTCTTTCTCAAGCACCTGCAGCGGTGATCTTGATGGCTTTCATGCTCCCATGATCTCTGCATACATTCGCCACATTCCATTTCCATCTTCCATCCCCCTAGTTCATTGGCAAGTTGAAAAGCATTAAGATTTGAAAGCAGCAAAGTGGTTCAATCTTGACAAATGCTAAATTAGCAAACATTACTCTCTAATCACTTTCAGGAATAAATTGATTATTATTTCTAAGCTCTTAGAGACTTGGAAAGACGAATTGGAAAACGTAAGATCAATCTGCTTTTAATCCAAAACGAAAAACAAATTTAATCATAAGCTTAGAATTTAAAGAATCTGAAATAAACTGCAAAAAGCTAAACAATATTTAATCTTAGAAATCTATAAATTGACTAAGGGTCTAAACAAAATTGGAATATTGAAACTTTTACAATATCATTTTGGAATTAATTACAAAAACAAACTGCTTTTCATGGGAAATGGGCTCTGTTTTGGTTTTTACAAGACATAATAAAGATACAGAATTTCATAATTTCAAAATTTATGGAGAGTTTTAAAAACTGGACATGCTTACATCGTCTAAGTGTAGCTCTATATACCCATCGTGTCCTTTCTCACAGTAAACAACACTATGCAATGCACACAGGAGTACAAAACAAGTAACAGCCTTTGTGACAATAACAGAACAAACACATTTCAGGCAGCAGGTTTATAAAGTACATGATGTGCTAAATTAAGGCAATTGTATGTGAAAAATAAAAGATCCTGATCAATCAATGTATACTTAATTGTCTAGGATAATTTATATTTTTGTACACTCTTGATAGCTGGTAGCGACAGTTGGCTGTTTGCAGCTCTTGTTTACTTTCTGAGAGTGTTTCCTACTGACCCACGATGGCCAAGAGCAACCGTCTGTAATCCCCGCTTGTGTCACTTGAAATCATGGTGGCCAAAGTCTTGTGGTACATCTGTGTGAACAGCTGTTTTATCTGTACCAGATCAATCTGTCCCAAAAGAAATAGAATAAAAATATAACATGGAAGAAATTTAAAGAAATTCAGGTTTAAAGGAAGGACACTACAGTAATCCCCAGGTTACAAGCATTCCCTTAGTGGAGTGGCCCCCAACCTTTTTTGTGCCGCGGCCCAGTACCAGCATCACAAAATGATCCACAGCCCGGTACCGGCATCATAAAATGATCCGTGGCCCGGTACCGGCATCAGCACCCATGGCAAGGCGAGCCGAGCGACCGGCCAGCCAGCCATCCCCCGCTTCTCCCTGCCACCTTCAACTTCCTCCTTTGTACCTGTGTCGATGGGCTTCGTGACAGCTTCGGGACGGTCGCTCGGCTCGCCTTGCCATGCATGCTGAAAGAATCCTCGCGCCTTAGTTTTGTTCAAAGCCACACACACCCTCGATGAAACTAAGGCACAAGGATTCTTTCAGGATCCAAACGCCGCTTTCTACCCGGAAAAGCTCACCGGAGCACTTTTTCATCAAAACAAGATGGCGGCGCCCAGCAAACCAGCAGCCCGGTAGAAATTGTTCCACGGACCGGTACCGGTCTGGGGACTGGTGGTTGGGGACCCCTGCCTTAGTGCACATTCAAAGTGCTCCCTAGTGTTTGGAAACAAGTTCCAAAACTACGAATCTTGCAACACCACGGCAGTTGTTCGTCCTTATGAACAACTGCAGAGGCTCTGCAACATTCGTCCTGCATATTGCCGGCCAAAATGGAGCTTCCAATGGATCTGCCCCTCAGAAACTCTGTTCAGGCCTCCAGAGGCCTCACCTGGCACGTTGCAGGCTGAAATAGCTCCATTGCAGGAGGCCCGCATAGGCCTGAACGGCTCCATTATATTTGTAACTTGGGGACTACCTCTACATATGCTAATCTCAGTCACATGAGAGCTGATCTTTGGACAGAGAACATGCACACTCAAAAGCATTGTTCAGCATTAGAAATGCCAAACCATGCCTTCCACTACAGTATTTTAATGGTTTGCAGAATTAATGTGTCGGGGTGGGGGTGGGGGTTGTTTTTTGTTTTGTTTGTTTTCTCAAATTTTGTTCTATTGTACTTTACTAATTTATTTGATTCTTTTTGTTAGTTCTTGTTTTTATTTTTATTGTTTGTTTTAAATATGATTTTACTTTGTGTAAGCTGCCTTGAGTCGCCATGGGCGAACAGACGACAATATAAATCAAATAAATAAATAATATAAATCAGCCACCAATGACTGTAATAAATAATGGCTTCAAATTATTGATATATGTATGTCTATAACATACATTTTATATGTTTTTCAGATTTTTTTTCTTTTATAATTTTGCATATTCTTTTTCATTTTTGTTGTTATATTTGGTTAATTTAAATGAAAAGAGGGATTATACTCTTATTAATACTTTTATTTTAAAAAATGTCCCAGTTTATATCACTTTATATCATGTCATTGTGAGCAATGGGATTGGCACATTCCTTTTACTTATATTTTCAGTGAGTCAAGAAGAAATCTTCTGGATCAAGTAGCATTACCTACTTTAATTACTTTAATTTAAAAAGCCAAGTTGCTTACAGGCAACAGCTACTTTCTAAAGCGCCAGTGCTCATTACTATGAACTTTTCAACTGACTTTTTTGCTGTCATGAGAAATTCCTTTATAATTATTTATTATTTAGTATATGGCATGTGTTAGCCAGGGATCACCGAGGTAGCTGGCTGCCTCTGTGAAAGGAATTTTTTCAGGCGGTGTTATCTTTACTTGTGGGATGCCTGAACGCTGGTAGGCAACTGGGGGAGGCTCCTTTCTCCTCCTTCCCTTCCACTGTTTATTCACTCATGGGAATCAAATCGCCGAGCTGCTGACCCGCCTTATCATGTGAGCCACCATGGCCCCAACTTTTATATATTAAAAATATATAAAAGAATTTCTCATGACAATAAATAATAACAATAATAGGAAAATGCAGTTTATCCTCAACTTCATTTAATAACTGCTACAGTGGCAGCGAAAAAAGCGACATGACCATTTTTCACACATATGACTGTTACAGCATCCCCATGGACACGTGATTCAGATGCTTGGCAACTGATTCATATTTATGACTGTTGCAGTGTTCTCGGTTCATGTCATCACCTTTTGCAACCTTCTGACAAAGTCAATGGAGAAGCCAGATTCATTGAATAACTAACTTAACAACTGCAGTGATTCAGTTAACAACTGTAGCACGAAAATGGGGCAAAATTCACTTAACAACTGTTTTGCTTAACAACAGAAATTTGGAGGTCAATTATGGTCGTTAAGTCAAGGATTACCGTATGGAGTTAAGGACAATTCTTACATTATTCTAGTTTTTGTTGTTATTTTTCCTCCCAAAAGATGTCAGTTTGTTTTTAAATTGAATTGAACAGCTTATATGTCATATTAAAGGTATAAAAACCTCTTAAGTGACTTATCATGATCGGATTTATTTTACATCTCAAAAATCTGGCCTTTTTAACGGGTGTGTAGATTTTTTATATCCATTGTGCAACAGCAAGACACATTGCTATATATATTATGAGAAAGTAAGGATTCTTACCTCACTACGAGTTACAATAATTCTAACCAAGGTAGAATCATCTGTGCCAGCTCCTTTCATGGCATGATAAAGTCTTTCTGCAAAAAAGGCTGGGCGATTTAGAGCACATTGTACTGGAATAAAGCAAACCCAAGAATATGTCCAAATTAGCACTGGGAACTAAAAAGAACAGTTTTCCAGGCTTACGGCAGAACTTATTAAATACAAACTTTAGACACAAAACTTAACTTTACTATAAATTGCAAATGTTTGTCTTATTCTTTTTCCTCTCCATTATAACATTTAGACCTGTAATTTGTTTTTCCCAACTTCTGAATATAGGTTTGGAATTATTACTGAGCCCCTTTTTTAAGAAGACAAATGAATGGAAGCCAGAGATCACTGTTTGTGGCCCGCCAGCTGCCAGCGAAACAGACTTGGCAGAATCGGACAATGAGGAAGTTGGGGAGAAACTTAGGCCAGTCCTGGAGTCTGGGAAAGACTCTGCATTGGAAGCAGATATAGGGCCAGGGTCGTCCAACATTTCCCAGCTGCCTTCTGAGTCAGAGATAAGAGGGGAAGAAGAACAGCTGCAGCCTGTTCCAGATGTGTGTATGCACAGAGCTATCAGGAGAGGAGAACAACAAGAAATAGGGGCCGACTCAGAAGAAAGGCACCCGTGGACGCTGAATGGTCCCTTCCTGGGGAATAAATAGAGAAAAAGGGTAGTGGTGGTTGCAGGAGACAATATTTCATATTTCTTTAGGAAGATTTGCTTATTGTGGTTCTGCCTCACAGAGATTCCTTGCAGGAATTAATTTACAGCTTTGCGACTGGAAGCCTGGCCAGTCCTATCCATGGACTGACAAGGTCTGTTCTTGCACTTAACCCTTGGAAGGATTATTGCTGGGACTTTTCTGTGTGTGAATGCCATGAATCCACAGCAACTAAATAAAGAGGAGTTTTTCGGGACAAGGAGTCTGTTTCTTGGTTCTACTAAGCCTGGGCCAGAACCTATAGAAATAGGTGAGAATATATAATTAAGTTTGTTGAGATTTGTGATTTCATTTTTAAACTTGGTGTGCTATATAATTGGGCTTCTGTCAGATTAGAAATCTATCAAAATGGAGGAGAGGGAAAAAAGCAAGTCAGAGGTAGCAAAACTCCAATTTTTAGAACTAAATTCCTGGTATTAAGAAGCCCCTGTTTGCAAGCTGGCCCTCCCTTTCGGTCCAACCATTTTTCTACTAGCAATCTCAAGTTCTCCAGAAAAACAACAACAGATGATCATGGGTATTAGCTGCCCAGGTGGCAACCAATTTAAATGATATAAAATAATCTTCAATAAATATTACCTAAAACAATAAATATTATATAAACAGTTGGAATATTATCAGCCAATTAACATCACAAGGTCCTCATTTAATCTTATTTCTCCTTTGAATTATTTATTGCCTCACAAAATTAGATTAATAAAATGTGATCTTGATAATGAGAGAAAAGTATGAAAAGTTCTATGTCTATTCACCAAACAATAGTTTATTTTTATTTTTTCTTCCTAAATTGTAATAAGTTATGCCAAATATCTTTTTAAGAAAACAACACTACAACTACTAAGGATAAATACTGGCAAATGAAAACTACTGGAAAAAGTGGGAGTGCTTCCATTCTAGCTCCCAGCCACAGGACCTTTTTTAGTGGAACTACTTATTGAAAAAAGACCCTCTAAAACAGGGGTGTCAAACTTGCAGCCTGCGTGCCGGGTGTATCACGCACTGACCATGCCCACCCCCGGTTTAGTGAAGGGGGGGGATAACGTGTCGTCGCAAGTTTGACACCCCTGCTCTAAAAGGATGCAAATGACCAGCTATCTGCAAGGAATATCCACTCCCTTCCCCTCCTCATTGTGCTGTCAGAGCTGAAGAAGCTTCTTGGATGAGAAGCGAAACATCTTCAAAGAAAAAACAAGAAAGTCCAGTTGCCTCCTGTAAAAGCATCTTTGGGATACTTATTAAAAAATATCTTCAAAGAGAATTCCTAAAGTTTTTTTCCAAGATATTTGTTAAATAAGATAATTAAGCACATTTATTCTTACATTACATAATTTCTTCTGCTTTTAATTCCCTGAGAGAAGATATTATAAACCTTGCTTCTAATCAGTGGCATCTTTCAAAAACTAATTATATTTGTGGATCCTTGAAAATTAAGTTAGCAATAAAATTAAAAAAGAAAAATGTGGGGAAAAAACTTACAAATAGTCTTCAAGCCACGTTCTACATTTCCTGAAAATTCCCGACCAATGCTGCTTAATAAATCACGGTTAGCTATCTGCAAATAAATGTCAGGAAAATGAAAAAAACTGTACAAAGAATGTTGGTGCACCAAAATCAATATTTGCCTTTTGCAGGCAACAGTTTCCTAGAGGTGCCCCACCCAATCTTCCCATACTTTGGTATACCTGTGAATAAGCTTCCACAGTGGCTTTCAGCTGGGGGAAGCTTCTAGATGCAAGGATCATGTTGAAGCAAGACTCATCTGTTCCCAGCTTTCCTTCCCCAGCTTGGTAAAGTCGTTGTGCATCCTGCTGAGCTTTTTGATAATCTACGGTTTGATTCTCGTCCCGATTACCCTGCAAAGAAAAGCAATGTATCATGATCACTGCACACTAGTTTTCACTTGGTCATCCAGCCAGGTACATTTCTTGTTTTAGATGGTAAATAAAAACTGACTATAGGTGAAGTAGCATAGGTTCTCACAATTTTCCATAGACTGTATTTTCCCATAGGCAAGTTGACCCTTACAATGCAAAATCTTTGGGAAGCAGTGAGGAGAGAAGGAAGTCTAACAGCTGGCAAAACCATGACAGATTTACAAAGGATTAGCAGTTGTAGGTGTGTTGTTGATTCAAGAAGACGCCAGAGCAAGGCTTTCAGAAGTGTAGCAGAGGTCTTAGGAGAAGAAGACCCGTTGAAGAAAAGTAGCGCTGTGGGATAACTTCCATAGGATGCTGAAGAGCAAAAGCCAGCTATCATAACTGTCGCTTACAAAGTGATGGCTTCCCTAGGTCCCCATAGGTCCATCAGAATGGCAGGAAACTGCCATTCTGACGGAAGGGGCTTGATATTTTTATGACCTGTATCTTCCTGGGCTAGGAAGGATGGAGGGATTGGCTTGGGGCCATCTGTTTTGTCTCAGGTCCAAAGAAGAGAGGGCAGTGCATGAGAACAACTTCTTATCACCTCCCCAGCCTAAAGTTCTCACAGCAACTCGACAACTGGTGATTGGCTCATGTCAGACTGAGCAGTGGGGAGGGGCTTGAACAAGTAAATTTTAACCTAATGTTCTAGCACAGGAACTTCAGATCCTGCCTAATGTCTTTGCTATCACTATCTCCCAATAAGGTCCTTTGCTGATGAGAATGAAGGGGACACATGCGTCTTGGGCCTCTGTTCTCATCGGCAAAGGTTTTTTGCAAAAACAACCGGAGCCTATAGGGATGCAATCTCTCCTTCCTGTAGGCCTCGGCAAGCCTTTGCTCAAGGCCAAACTGCAGCAGAAGCTGGAAAGGAGACATTGAGATCTAAGTAAGGTGGAGACTTTGATCATTGAGATCTAGGTAAGGTAAGTGATCCGGTTGGGCAGGATGGGGCGGGGGAAAACATGAGATGTCTCAGTGGGTCGGGGAAAGCACTAGGCCCTCCATGGGGCCTAGATACCTCCCTGAGATATCTCATGCACTTAATGACCCATGCATTCAATCAACAAATAAGTGGGTGAAAGCAGGGAGTGATCACATTTAAGTTACATGATTCACTCCTACAAATACTCAAGTTATGAATGTAATAGGCTGGCTCCATTACATTCATAACTCAAGGACTACCTCGAGAAAAGAAATGAAATGCTATAAGAAAAGCATTATTGAATATATTTTGAATCACATAACTGAAATGTTAATTGTTGAATAAATTCTGCCATGCTGCACCCTGAAATCTTTCAAGTAACTTGACCAAAAATAATGGGAGATATTTTTTTAGTTATATAACACATGTTAAGGGCCATCTCAATCTTCTGCTCAAGTATAGTTTTATAAATTGTTAAATGCTTCAGGAAGCCAATTTCCTTCTTTCCTTTAACTGTTTTAAAAAACTGATCTCAAAATTCTCTACCATATTTTCCCGAAGATTGCAAGAAATTTCTAAGTTCTTATGTGTTTGTTTACATTTGGATTGTTTCAAAATCAAATATAGTTTGCTGTATCTATGGAGTCCCCATGGCAAATAGAAAGATGCACTGATTTTTCAGTGGCCCTATATAGCACTAGCACTAGCACAGACTTATATACCATTTTACAGTCCTCTCTAAGTGGTTTACAGAATCAGCTTATTGCCCCCAACAACTTGGGTCCTCATTTTACCCACCTCGGAAGAATGGAAGGCTGAGTCAACCTTTAGCCTGGTCAGATTTGAACTGCCAAACTCCAGGCAACCAGCAGGCAGCAGAAGTAGCCTGCAGTACTGCATTCTAGCCACTGCACCACTGCGCCACCGTAGCTCACATTCAGTTTGAATGTGATTATTATTATACGTGTTTGTTTGCCTAATACCATTGAAACAGATTATCTTTAAAAAAATTAAATGAACAATAAATATTACTTGCCATGCAGAAATTAAATAGGTAGGTAGATACATAAGTTCAGAAGTCCCTTGTAGAATTATATGGCCCACATTCCAAGTGGTAATTTTTCTCTATACAGTTTTAACTGGACTTTTTCAAAACATAGTAAAGAGCATGAAACATTAAACATTGGAAATGATGCGTGACTAATTTCCATTTTTAATGAATTCTTATTAAAAGTAATTTTACAAAGAACACAGTATGACTAATTTTTTTAGAATTCAGTGTTTTTCATTGTTTATATTGTTAAATGATTATATTGTTAAATGAAATAGATGACAGGAAGCTAAAAATTAGTGGGTGACAGCAAGCACCCAAAGTTTCAATATAAGAATATGCTTCATAAACAAATATATTGTGAGAGAATGTGGTTGTTATCTCACCTGACACATAGATACAAGTAATCGTTCAAAGTGACCAGATGTATCAGCTTGAATATCATGTTCAATATCTCTTCCAAATTCACTCTTGTAACATTTGACTATTTCTTGAATGTCCTGATTTGTTCTTGTGCAAAGAATTTCAATCAATACATTTTCCTGGGTACCAGCACCCTGAAAGCAGAAAAACAAAGTTGCTGTATCAGCACCAAAAAGAGTGCTAGAAAAATTATAATGTAGGCTAAGCTGCTTTATATAATAGAATATACTGCAAACATAAGCCACATTATGCAATGACCAACTACCAAATAAATCAGTATCAGATTCTATCTTTGTTCACCACCTCCTCATAATTTTCTGTATAGTCCTGGTTGGTTCTACTTCCTGAGATTCCTTAATGTACATTACAACCTTCCTAGTTGTGGAAAGACAATTGGCCACATAAGTTTGGAAAGGGTGGAAAGCCTCAAAAGCTTTTATATGTCAGAATCTGAATGTCCTTTGGCTTCTCTGATTTCTTTTAAAATAGTAAATTCCTCAATTATAGCAAAGGAACAATCTTAACATTTTGCATTTTCTTCCTTTTTCTTAAGAAATCTTACTGTTGTCCATCTCAGTCTGATTTATTTTTGTGCCTTTTGTCCCTTCTTTCCACTTACTGCCCCATCTCCCTGATGCTTTTCTTCACTTTCCAGACTCTACTGCCTTTACTAATGTCTCTTTCTTCTCTCCCATACAAATTAGCTCACGACAGGGGGCACCTGTGGTAGCCTGGGAGGGGCTGGGGGGGGGATCCACTGTCTCCAGCAGAGGAAGGTGGGCCAGAGCCATGCCCATCTGGCCCTCTAAGGTCAACCCCAACCCTAATGCGGTCCTCAATGAAACAGAGTTTGATACCCCTGTCCTGGAGATTCCCGCTCTCTCTCCTTGGCCAGGTTGCTCATGGTGTGTGTGGGAGGGCAAAGTGTGTGGCCAAGCTGAGGTGCGGCAGGTCAGTCCTCCACTGTTTCCAGGGTGGCTCTGTGGTCCAGATCTAACCACCTCACTGGCCACATCTGGCCCCCGGGCCTTGAGTTTGACACTCCTGCTCTAGAGTATCTTGGTGGTGATATTCTTCCTTAGAAGGAAAGGATAGCATAGGAGGATCAGAAAGCTTTGACTTGATTCTGATCAATATGGAAACCCATTGAAAAAATGGAAATAGCAGGGACATTTCAAAGAAAGTGTTATGCAATGCAGGATTCTTTTATTTTAAGGTGAGAAAACTGAACGCAAATATCTATTTTAGATATAAAGTGGAGAATTTTATTATAGCAGTAGTGAATTTGATTCGTGGCAAGAGAAGCAAGTCATAAAATGAGCTCCAAAAGGGTAGGAATTTAGTATCAGAGGGGAAGTCATATTGGTGTGGCTTGGAAAAAGCTATCTATAACCTTGAAAAACTTCACAGTACAGCTAGTCCTCACTTAACAACCCTTATGGGATCAGCCATTCCACTGGTAAGCAAAGTAGTCACTAAGTAGGAAATCACTTGATTGCAACTTTGCTTTCCAATTGGAAAAAGATAAGACCAGTCAGTTTCACACTTTTGTTTGCCTCCTAATCACTCCCCCAACCTTTGGAAGCCTGGCCTGAGGGCTTATTGTTCTATACACATTGAAAGCAATGAGGTCATGCTGCTGGAAGCTGCAGGCATGCTATGCAGACAGTCAGTAGTGCTCTCTTGAAATCCTTTCTCCAATGTCTCCGCTTTGTGAGGAAGGGAAGGGAAAGGAAAAAAAACCCTTTCCTGCTGGTGGTGCAATTCCACTGTTCTCAATATGTAGAACAGCAAACAACTTATTCTCTTGTAATCCTCTCTCCAATCTCTGTTCTGTGGGGAAGGAAGAAGGGTTAGGCAAAGGAAAAAAAAAAACCCTTTCCTGCTGGTGGTGCAATTCCAAAGAGTGCCTACAAAAATTGATTAACTTACACACACACACACACACACACACCATTCTTCCAAAGGGCAGGAGGCTAGGTAGCAAACAAAATTTGAAAAAGAAGAAAGTCTTAAATGAAACAGTCTGTGTGTATATGGATTGCTTGGTGTCTTTGGGACTTTGGGAAATTATTATTTGAAAGACTAAAAACATTTGGGTTGTTTAAAAAAAATTTCACAATGGCATTACTTGTTGATGAACTGAAAATGGAATTCAAAAAGTTAAAAGAAGAGGAACAAGAAGGGAAGGGCTCTTCTGGCTCTGTTTTCCATTTTTTAGAAATGGCAATTTCTACTTACCAGAAACTAGAAGAACAAGAAGATTGGGATGAAGAAGAAGCCATCTTTAATGAACAAGCAACTTTAGTTGGGGAAGAAAAGGGAAAGAGGGGAAAGAAAATGGAGAATTTAAGACTTAAAACAGCAACCAAAAAAGGGAAAAATAAGGTGAAAAATTGATACAATGTCAGAAAGCAACAGAAAAGAGGAATACAGAAGAGGGTGGAGATCAAGAGGGGGTAAAAAGGCTAGATTGGGGAAGAAAGGAAGGGAAAAAGGGAAGAGAAGTTACAAAGGTTTGAAACAAGATGTAAAAAAACAGGATTTAATCAGAGATAATGGGTAAAAATATAATTAAAAAAGAGATTCTGCTAAAGTACATAAGACTGTATTGTTGTATTTGTATTTGAAATAATGTTAGAAAACTGGAACATTATATGATTATAAAATGGGATAAAATATTAAAAGGAATGTGTAAAATGTTTAAGACTTAACGAAAGAGTTTAATTTGCTATGGATTATTGTTTTAATTATATTATAAACTTATTATTTTTCTTATTTCAAAATATAGTATGTAGCTTTAGAATGTACTAAGCAGAATCTGAACGAAAATTATATATTATTTTAAGTGTTAAATTTAGGGGAAAGATATAAAGGCGTCATACTTCAATCAGTGATTACAGGAGAAATTTTGTGTTAATGAGAAAAAATAATAGATAATTGGAACAGACAAAGGATATAAGCATAATGATTTAAATTGAGATGAAATAAATAAAATGGAATTAAGAGAGTGAAAAGAGGGGAGAAGCTATATAGAAAATGTAGAATGGTAAATAAGATATGAAATGGTATATAAAGTGAGCATGAATTCGAATTTACGTCTGTACAAAAAGATGTAACCCGGGACTAAGCCGCTTTCCAAAAAGAAGTTTTATGTTTTCATGTTTTGTGTTTCGTTTGTGTATGTTTGTTTATTGAAAATCAATAAAAAAAATAAAACAATTGATTAACTTACACACACACACACACACCATTCTTCCAAAGGGCAGGAGGCTAGGTAGCAAACAAAATTTGAAAGGGTGAGACCAATTAGTCTTGTGTCTTTCCAGCTACATAGCACAGTCACAGTCATGTCCCACTTAGCAAATATTCTGCTCAACAGAGCTGCTGGTGCCAATTAGAATTATCCAGGAGGAGCTACCTGTAATTGTGAAGTTACAGCCCACTCACAGCCCCTCTCTTGTCAGCCTTTCCAGATAAGGAATCAATATTTTATCTCAAGACATCCTTACAGTTACATAATAAGAATGTGATTGCCTTCAAACCTTCCTTATCTAGGTTAAAAAAAAGTGTCTTGTTGAAACTGAGATATCTAAGCAAAAGATGTATGCCAGGAAAATAGAAAAGTTAAGACTATTATCTCTTCAGTCCAAGGTTAAAGCTGCAACTTTCCAGAAAATTAAAAAGAAAATACATAACCCTTATGGTTCAAGGAATTATTATTTGTGAAAACAAACATAAATATCCTTATGACATTACACCAGGATTATTTTAAAATTTCTGCATAATTAACTGGTTTTTAACTGAGTTTAATATCCATTATTTTTATATAATCCAACCTATTTGATGAAACTGGGAACTTGGTATAATAGATACCCCTAAATTTCCCTAAGAAATTTCTATCCAACAGTGATCTTACATTGTTTCCACATATCTCCTTATATAAATACAACTTACCAGTGAAGATATTATCTTGCTAAAAAAATTGACATAGTTTTTATCTAAGTGAACATTTACAAACATTTTGATCTCACTGCTTTTATTTTTGCACCTAATATTTTTAAAAAATAAACTCATACCTTCATTGCATGCCTTAAACTCCAGGCATCATAATAGGTACATGGCATGAACAATGCAAGGATCAGTTCTTCCATATTCCCACTAAGCTCCGACTTCAGGTCTTGAATTAAATCCTGTCCAGTTATCCAAATAAGTATCAGAAAGAAGTACATTCACAACGCCTTAAACATATACTTTAATATATACTCGAGACAAAAATTAGCTAGATAAGATACATTTCAAACAGATAATAGTTTATTTATTTTACATTTTTTATTTATATTAGGAGGCTCCAATTATTTAATTATTTTTAAACAATTACTTTTGATTATTTAGTGTAAAATTTAAATGCAATATTTAATTAGTAAAGCAGGACTGAAAAACAATAATAATTTAATGACCACAATAGCAGCATTATTATGAATGGGCTGCAATGCATAGGTATACTTACCACAAACAATAGAAACAAATAACTAGCAATTAAGAAAACATAAATAAATAGAGCAATGTAAAATATCAACCCATAATGCAGGCAATTCAGATATTCTCAACTAAACTGTCAATTTTCTACCTGGCTCACCCCAATCTAGATTTGCATTTTATTAAAAAGCAGTTCATAGCTTCTGAAAAATGTCTTGTCCAAAAAGACAACCTCTGGATTTCCTTCCTCTGCACAGATTGGATTACAATGGCAATTTGAGCCAGAATTTCCAACACTAAACAATGTGATCCTAGTGCAAAGTCACATGACCGCATTGCATAGCGATGGCAATCCCAGTAGTCCTGGTTGCTGTTGTTAATTACAGAAATATATGGGTCATTAAATGGGAAGAAATGGGAGCCCCAAACAAACAGACTGGTGAATGAGGCCTATGGTAAGAGCTATAGACAGGCAGGGATATGCCAAGGTGGGGGCAGGTGGAAAAGCAGCAAGAGCAGGAGTGATACCTCACCTCCTGCCAGGTTCCCCATTGACTTTGCTTCCAGGAAGCCAGCAAGGAATGTCAAAATCATGATCACATGACTGCTGCTTGCTGCACTGTCATTTTAACTGCAAGGCATTAAAGTCACATGACTGCAGGGATGCTGCAATGGCTGGACCTCATTCGGTGCCATCAAAACTTTGACTGAATGCTGAATGAACCAGAGGACTATCGGCATGTGCTGAGTGCAAGCAGATGGTCACATCCAATTAGCAAAACATTTGAGTGGTAATTCATTTCTTACTTCCTTGAAATCAGATGAAGAATGGAAAGCAGATTTACAAATGAAATTTTAATTTGTACATAAGTATAACTTGATCTTGAAAATTGTAGGACATTCAGAGGAGAGACTATAACTGAATTATTGAGTGTTCATATATTAAATATCATTCCCACAATGTAAAGTTCAGTAAAATGGGTAGAGCAACCCAAATTTCCTTTAGATCTTTCTTAGCTCCGACAAACAGACAAAATGTCCTACCATATTGCTGTTCTTGCTGTGTCAATTACAGGGAGTCCTCAACTTATGACCAGAATTGGGACCAGAATTTTCATTGCTAAGCAAGATGGTTGTTAAGTAAGTCACACCCGACTGGACTTCCAATTTGAAGGGCTTCGGCGACAGACAGAAATCCGTGATCGTGCACAGTCTCTGTCTGGGCTCGCCACTGGAGCGCCCTGAGCCGGCTGGTTTCGGGGCTAAGCCACCCTGTAGAAGTGGTGAAGAGGGGGGAGACTGCCAGCAGGGTCGAGGAGAGCCGCATCTCTCCTCCTCAGCTGGCCATTACTCCCTTTCCCGAAGGCGGTTGCAGCGGGAGTCAGAAATGGCCACCACAAAGAAGAACTCGACCGGAAAAGAATATGCAGGAGGAAGATAAGAAGTGAAAGTTTTGGCTGACCGGTTTAAATTGTAAAAGCAACAACCAAGATACCCTGGAATTCAAACTTACAAAAAATAACATCGTTCCCAAAGAAGAGTCGGAAGCAACGAAGGAAAGTGAAAAGGGAAAGGTTTGGCTTTTTTGTCTTCTTCTCTCTCCTTCCCTATACTGACAACTAAGAGACTTAAATAAGAAATCAGAAAAAAATCGGCTTTGACATCAATAGGCAATTAAGCTGAAAATAAAACAAAATGCCAAAGGGATAATAAAGATTTCTGGACATTAAAAACTTTCTTTTTCATAAGCAGGAAGGAAGAGAAAAAGAATAAGGGCAGGATCTGGAAGAGGGAGGAGACTGCCTGGAATTAAAAAGAATCTAAAGTAAAACTTCAACAAGACTTCTAAAAGATACATTTTAACTGAAACTTTGCAACTAAATAGTAACCCCAGGAAGAGAAAGTGAAAAAAGAGCAAAAAAGAAACAGCTTGCGTGTATTTGGATTATTTGGTGATCTTTGGATTTTTGGTTATTATACTTGAATGACTAAAATCAATCAGGTGGTTGTTTAAAAATTTATACAATGGCACCACTTCTGGATGAATTGAAAATGGAACTTAAAAAGTACAAAGAAGATGCACAAGAAGGGAAGGGTTCTTTTGGCTTCGTTTTTCAATTCTTAGAAATGAAGATTTGGAACTATGAGAAACAACAAGAAAAGACTGCAAAACAAGAAGACTGGGACAAAGAAGAAGCCATCTTTAATGAACAAGTAATTCTATGTGGGGAAGAAAAAAGAAAGGGGGGAAAGAGAATGGAGAATTTAAGACTTAAAAAACAACCAAAGAAAAGAAAAATAATTCAAAAAATAAGTATAATACTGGAAATCAACAGAAAAGGGGAATACAGAAGAGAGAAATAGAGGTAGAGAGACAAGGGGGTAAAAAGGGAAGAGAGAAGAAGAGAGGGAAGAAGGAAAGGAAAAGAAGTTACAAAGGACCGGGGCAAGATATAGAGAAACAGGACCTATTTAGAGATAATGGGTGAAAATCTAACTGAAAAAGGGATTCTGTAAAGGTACATAAGATTGTATTGTTATATTAGTAATAGAAATAACTTTAGAAAATTGGAAGCAACGTATGATTAAAATGAGGGATAAAATAGTTAGTGTAATTTAGTAAAATGTTTGTGAATAAAATAAGTGAAATAAAATAAATGAGAAAATTGAATTAGGAAGGAACGGGAACATTTTAATTAGTTAATGTTTTATAAAATATAAGTGAAGGGGGGGAATTAACATGGAAAGCTTATAATTGTTCCCATAGAAGTATATTTAATTGAAAAGTAATGTTAAAGATGTTAAGACTTTAATTAATATTAATGATAGAATTGAATTGGGATGGAATGTTGTTTTAATTATATACATTTATAATTCTTTTCTTTTTTTAAGAATACAGTATTTTAAGAATGTACCAAGCAGAATCCGAATGGAAGTTATGTATTATATTGAATGTTACAACTTTAGGGAAAAGATATAAAGGCGTCATACTCCAATCAATAACTACAGGAGAAATTTTGTTTAATGAGAAAAGATAATAGATAATTGAAACAGGACAGACAACAAATATAAATACAATGATTTGAATTGAGATGAGAAAATTAAAATAAAATTGAGAAAATTAAAAGAGGGGAGAAGCTATGCAGAAAATGTAAAATAGTAATAAGATATGGAATAGAATATAAAAATGAGCATGAACCTGAATTTCTGTCTGTATGAAGAAATATAACCCGGGATTATGCTGCTTTCAAAAAAGATGTTTTATTTGTATTTTTTTTTCTCTTTGTGAAAACTCAAATAAAATTTACAAAAAAAAAAAAGTAAGTCACACCCAATTTTACAATCTTTTTTGCAATGATTATTAAATGGATTGCTCAAGTTATTATGAATGAATCAAGCTTCTCTTACTGACTTTGCTTGTCAGAAGCCAGCTGGGAAGGTTGTAAAATGTGATCTCATGACTCCAGTTTGCGGCAACTGTCACAAATATATGCCAGTTGCCAATTTTTGATCACATAACAGTAACAATGCTGCAATAAGTCACTTTTTCAGTGCTGCTGTAACTTTGTAATTAAAAGAATAGTTATAAGTCAAGGACTAACTGTATTGGAAAAATATAACCAACTATACCTTGCCATACATAGTCTTGAAAGCAGATTTAATTTGTTGCCTCTGGTTATTTGAACGGTTGGAAACAACATCAATGATTGCTTGCTCATCCGTACCTTGGAAGCAAGAAATATGTATAGTCAATTTTATATCATAGCCATTCCTCCATTCCACCCATGAAGATTAAATCGAGAAAGCATTTAAGGCTGCCCTTCACCCTCATTTTTGCTCTTCGGATCTGTGATGCTTATGCCAATATGTGAGCCTTTGTTAATTAACAAATGAGACTGTGGCTAGCAAGATTGCTTTGGGCGCAGAAATTGGAACGTATTTAAAAAGGCTACAATGAATGGACAACATACTGATGTGAACAAGCATGTTTCTACTATGTCTGCTTATATTCAAAAATGTATGGAGAATGTCAATGTTCTTAATACAAGCAAATGAGAAACCGTGAATGTCTCAAAAGTACAGAATTTCTTTCAAGATCCTATTGACCCTAAACGTATGTGGCAAGGTACTTGGGTTATTACTGACTATAAGGCAGCTTCCCTGACATGTATGGGTGACACAGATTTTCTAAACAAGCTAAATATGTTTTTTGCATGGTTTGAGGCAATGTTCCAGCAAGGAAGGCTGTTCCCCTTTCTTATGAACAGGTGCTCGGGTTTGATACTACTGCCATTCGGAAGATCCTGCGGAAAGTTAATACTCAAAAAGCTGCAGGTCCTGATAATATCCCTGGGCAAGTACTTAAGGCCACTGTTCTCAGATATCTTCAATCTCTTGTTGCATCAGGTTATGGTTCCATCATATTTTGAAAATGCAACCATTGTACCAGTGCCCAAAAACTATAATCACATGCCTTAATGGTTACCATCCAGTTGCACTCACTTCCATTATGATGGAGTGTTTTGAGAGATTGGTAAAGGATTATATGGCTTCATGCCTTCCCCCTACATCTGACTCATTACATTTGGCCTATCAGAAGAGCCACTGTATAAATGATGCACTTTCCTGTGTGGTTCATCTTAGCTTGGTACACCTGGAGGAGAATATTTATGTGCAAATGCTGTTTGTTGATTTTAGTTCAGCGTTCAACACAATCATTCCTCAGCATTTGGTGAACAAACTGAGTCTGTTAGTGTTTGGGGATAAACCCCCAAGCAGAGTATGCAGCAGCAGTCAAGCCAGGCAGGCAAATGAGAGAGAGAGTGGGCCCAAGAGTATACATACACTGGAGACAAAAACACTGTTTGTGGTTATAAAATAGTTATTTAATAAACACAGAGATTAAGAAGTGTCATTCAGTCCATATATCATTATCCAGTATATCCATCCAGTTATCAAGTCCATTAACAGTAAATACAATGTCTTTATCTGCTTGTAAATCTTCTCCTCCCGATACCTTTCTCTCAAAGACAACGCTGAATCCTCAGCTCACCAAACAAACAGTCTTTGTGTTCAGTTGAAATGGTATCTGGCTCAGTAGCCATCCAGAGTAAGCAGATAGACGTTCCAGCAGGCAGCAGACCAGGAACAGTAACCAGGTGCATCCAGAAGCCGGGGCTATTACGTTTCCCTTCCTACCTTTATTACTGCCTGCAACCGCACCCACAATGACATTGCAGTTTCTTGTGCTTAAAGCTACAAAACACTTTAACCTAGGTTTACATATTTATTCAACCCAAACCAGTTGGAGTATTCATATACCCAACAGAGTCTATTATGTTTTAGTACTCCCTTATGTAACTGGGTACTTGATTTCTTTATTGACAGGCCCCAGTTTCTGTGAGTTGGAAGAAAAGTTTCCAACTCCATCTCGAGTACAGGTTCCCCACATGGCTGTGTCTTGAGTGCGCTACTGTTCAGCTTGATGAACTATGACTGCTGTGCCAAATCTGCTATGAATCCTATTGTGACGTATGCAGATGACACGGCAGTGGTGGTCTTATCCGGGACAACAATGAAGATGTTCATAGGGAAGAGGTGAAGGCTCTGGTGGACTGGTGCAATAAAAGTAACCTGGCTCTAAATGTTAATAAAACAAAGGAGATCATTCATGAGTCATGGTGGTGCAGTGGTTAGAGTGCAGTACTGCAGTTCAAAATCTCATCAGGCTCAAGGTTGACTCAGCTTTCCATCCTTGCAAGGCAGGTAAAAGGATGACCCAAATTGTTGGGGCAATATGCTGACTCTGTAAATCATTTAGAGAGGGCTGTAAAGCACTGTAAAGTGGTATATAAATCTAAGTGCTATCACTATTGTAGATTTTAGAAAGAGCCAGCATAGTCATACTCCACCCAGTATCAAGGATGCAGCAGTAGAGGTGGTTAACAGTATTAAGTAACTGGGGGTGCAGATAACTAACAATCTGAATTGGTCTCTCCACACATCATCCTGAGTGAAATGTGGAAACCAGCGTTTGCATTTCCTGTGTTGGATGAGAAGAGTACATCTTTCTCCTTCTGTCCTGGCCACTTTTTACAGAGGCATGCTTGAGAGCATTTTAACAAACTGCATCACTGGTTGGTGGCTGCAGTGCCTCAGATAGAAAGTCCATACGGAGAGTGGTAAGGACAGCCGAGAAGATTATAGGAAGCTCGCGATACTGCTTATAGCCATGATGGAGAACCTATGGCACATGTGCCAGAGGTGGCATGCAGAGCCCTCTCTGTGGGCACACGAGCTGTCGCCCAGCTCAGTTCCGCCGCACATGTGCATGCACACCTCCCGCCTAGCTGGTCTTTGGGGTCTCTGTTGCGCATGTGCAGAGGTGAGGCATATGTGGAGGGGGGGCACATGCATAGGGGACACAGGGCGCATGCATGGGGGATGCACGCATATTGCATTTTGGGGGTGCACGTGTGTGCGCTTTGGGTACTTGATGCCCAAAAGGTTAGCCATCACTGGCTTATAGTTATTCTATGTCTAAGTTCTACAAGGTATTTCAAAAGCATAGTGTAGGTCAGGGTTGTCAAACTCGCATCGTCATGGCAGTGTCACGTGACGTATCAGGACTTTTTTCCCATTCACTAAGCCGGGTGGGGGTGGGGCCAGCACATGATGCATCCTGGCCTGTGGGCCGCTAGTCTGACATCCCTGATATAAGTGCTCTCACAAAATGACTGCTAAAACTAGTAAGAAATATCCATTTATTAGGAGATAATCAATCCATCAAATAATATTTATCTGGTCAATGACCAGGAATAAGTAATGCTTACTTCCTGCCAACTTCAGCAAACATCAACCACTACTTGACCTTTGCCTTTTTTCTGAGCAGACAGGCATATTTTTGAGCAAAACACTGGAGTGCAATTCTCCTCCATATATATATATATATTTAAAAATATTTAATGAGCATCCTGTATGTGAATTCCAGCATCCCTCTTAGAAATAAAAAATGATTTTTAAAAAACATTCTAAATAAAGATAGGGTTTCCTTTTGCAGCACATTCACTTTTCATTTAAAATTAAAATAATCTAAAATCTTTTTTAAAAAAAATAAATCCATGGTAGGAAACCAAGAAAGCAGATGCCAACTGTCCTGGTGACCAAGATAGGCATCTTAGTGGGTCCAAGATTTTGGACTGGATCTCAGTCAACTGTAACAAAATGTCTGTGCATTTCGATTTTCACAAGTGTATCACAAATACCATAGATATCACAGGACTTCTTAAAATGTTTTTCAGCCATCCAGACTAAGGGAGAAAATTTACAAATGTGTAAATGTCAGGGGAAAGTCAATTTTCCTTTGCTGAAGTGCATCTTTGACTAGTACATTACTCTAGCAAACAGGTCTATGGAGATTCTCAATCATCTAGGTTATGGTTGTCCCAAAGGCATTTTTTTCAAAAGCCAATTGGACTTTCTTGTTTTTTTTCTTTGAAAACATTTTCTTTCTCATCTAAGAAGCTTCTTCAGTTCTAACTGAATGATAGGAATGAAAGAATTTATATTCTTTGCAATAATCTGGTCATTAGCACTTTGAAGGCAAGTCATTAGCTGTCTGAGAGTCATTGAGACCACTTAGAAATGCATGTGTACACTCAGGATAACCTGAATCAGAGTGCAAATTGATGTGAAAGCTTCTTGGGATTTTTCCCAAGATTGGAGGATTGAGTTATAGACAGGAGATAGTTGGCGTGGTCACCTTTCCCCTCTCTCGAGTGCGGGCTGTTCAGTTTTAACACAGATGGCCTCTCTGCTCTGCTCTTTTGAATTGTGAAGTTGGAAGGGGGTTCAGGATTAACCATTAAGGATGAAGGTATCTGCATCCCTCACCAAAGCCAAAACACCTCCTTGCAACCTCACAGTTCAAGAATGGAGAGCAGTCACCTCCCTAAGAAGAGACCCAAACATCACCATCTTGCAGCCTGATAAAGGAAGATGCAGTTTATCCTGAACACAGAGGACTACGATGCCAAGGTGAACAGTTTTCTGAAGAACACTGTTACATATGGGAATCTGAAGAGAGATCCTACCAGCAGTTATAAGAAAAGGGTCATTGATTTCCTACAACAGCTACTAAAGGACAATCCCATTGTCAAGCCATAATAGTATACAACCTTTACCCTGGGGAAGTCAGTAAATGCATTCGTGAACCCCCCAGAATCCACAAAGAGGGAACTCCACTTAGACCAATTTTCAGCATCATCACCTCGGTCACAAACAACATTTCAAAATATCTAACCAAAATATCTCCTCTGGTTGGAAACACCACCCATCACATCAACAACTCAAAGGATTTTTTTCAGCAAGGTTTGGAAACTAAAATTGGATTCAGATGAGACAATGATTTCTTATGGTGTCACTTCACTCTTCGCTTGCATTCCAACAACTGAAGCTGTCATGATAGCAAAGAAACAATTACTGTAAGACAGATCTTTGCCTGACCACTATCTCTTTTAAATATAATGAAAGTTTCTACAGACAGAAACACACGGCTGCACCATGGGTTCACCTGTGTCCCCCTTACATGTAAGAAGTAGAAATCAAAGTGCTAAAACTCCATCACAAGAATTCCACCACTCACTGGTATAAGAATATGAATGATACTTGGGTCAAGATTAAATACGGGAAGTGGAAGTCTTCACAAAACACATCAGCTCTGTGGAGAGGTACATTAAATGCACAATGGAAGATGTTAAAGAAAATATTCTGGCTTCCTTGGACTGTGCATTAAGGAAGACAGAAGCCTCAACTCAAGTATATAGAAAACCCACACATATTTACATTTTGGTTCTTTCCACCCACTGGAGCACAAAATGGGAGTGATCAGAACCCTACACTACTGGGCTCAAGGTTTGCCTATCAGCAAAGAGGGAAAAGAAAAAGAACTAAAACACATCAAGGAAGCCTTCAGAACTTGTAGCTATCCCAACTTGGCCGCCATCAAATCCAGAAAAAGATCCAGCAGTTACAAGAAAAAGGTCATTGATTTCCTGCAGCCGCTACCATTATCGATTACTTTATCTATTATTCCTTCATAATAGATAAAGAAGAGAACAACAAATGAAGCAATTCCATACGTTTGCAGGAGTATTTGAAAAGATCAGGAGGATTTTCAACCAACATTACATATGAGCACACTTTAAACCCAAAAATACATTAAGCCAGAAGCTTGTCCACTCCAAGGATAAAACTCCAAGACACAAACTGAGAAATAGGGTAATGCAATGCAGTGAGACATGTGCAGACTTATATATTGGGGAAACAAAACAACTGCTTTAATGACCTAAGTGCTAGAGCCCACTGTAACTACATAGCCAAAAAGGCGTTAAGAATTGTAAACCTAATACTACGTAGCTTTTTCTCTGGTAATATTACACTACTAACTAGAGCATACAAAACATTTGCTAGACCTATACTTGAATACAGCTCATCTGTTTGGAACCCACATTACGTATCTGATATTAGCACAGTTGAGAAAGTCCAGAAATATTTCACAAGAAGAGTTCTCCATTCCTCTACTCGTTGTAGAATACCTTATGCCACCAGACTTGAAATTCTAGACCTAGAAAACCTTGAATTACGCCGTCTTTGGTCTGATCTAAGTATGGTATATAAAATCATGCATTGCAATGACTTACCTGTCAATGACCACTTCAGCTTCAACCATAATAACACAAGAACACACAATAGATACAAACTCAAGGTTAACCGCACCAAACTTGATTGCAGGAAATACGACTTCAGGCAACAGAGTGGGCGATGTCTGGAATACTCTACCTGACTCTGTGGTTTCTTCCCCAAACCCCAAGAACTTTAACCTTAGACTGTCTACTATTGACCTTACCCCTTTCCTAAGAGGTCTGTAGGGGGCGTGCATAAGCGCACCAATGTGCCTACTGTCCCTATCCTATTGTTTCTTTTATTTTTTTTTATTTTTCTTATACGTATCCATGTATTCATAACAATGTTTTTACTTATACCTATTATCTTGTAAGTGATTGACAAATCAAAATAAATAAATAAAAAATAAATAAAAACAAACCCATCAGGACACAATTTAGCAGTCCATCTGCATCTGAAAGACAAAGCTCACTCTTTTGAAAACAGAAAAGTTCACATTCTTGACTGAGAAGACCACTGGTTTGAAAGAGGGGTCAAAGAAGCCCTCTGTGTTAAAATTGAACAGTTCTCACTCAACAGAGGGGAAGGGAACAAGATATCACCTATGCCTTGTAGAACAGTCCTTTCAGCAGTCACAAGAAGTTTCCACACCTGATTTGCATTCTGATTCAGGTGACTCTGAGGGTACAGATAAATCTCCAAGTGGTCTTAATGACTCTCAGAGACTGATCTTCCAACTGCTAACCACCAGATGACTGCAAAGAATATAAATCCTTCCATTCCCTGTTAGTCAGTCTGAAGTGAAGAAGCTTCTTGGATGAGAAATGAAACATTTTCAAAGAAAAAAACCAAGAAAGTCTAGTTGCCTTTTGAAAAGCATCTTTGGGTCTAGCAAACAGCATTTATCTCAGTTGTTATTTTTATTCACCTTTATAGGTCAATCTGTCCCCAGCATTTTTGTCCTTAAACAAGCTGAACAATTAAGCCACGAAGCAGAAAATAGTATTGCCAGCAACTCTATTGCACAAAAATTGCATATCATTATTTCTAAAAGCAGTAATAAAATATCTAGAGAAAGCAGAAGTAAATCTGTGGCTTTTATGCTTAAATCTAAATGTAAAGACCTCATAAATATTCCAAAATATAAGAGCTCTTACCAAATCCTTTCATAGCTTTGCGCAAAATTTCTGCATCCCTCCCTGCATCAAAGTTAGGAGCTGGTCGAATTGTGCCTTCCATGCTCTGAGTTAATGCTGCAGGCTGAGAATGAAAATATGTTATTACAAAACTTTATTCTTATTAAGAATTTGTTCAATTTTAATAATCAAATATTGATTACTACAATGTGACAAAATCAGTGGACCAGTGAAATGGTGTGGATATAATTTACTTGGGTTTCAGTAAAGCATTTGATAAAGTAGACCACAACCTATTACTTGATAAGATAGAAAAATGTGGTTGGACAGCATCACCACCAGGTAGATTCCTAACAATCGCACTCAACTTGTAATCCTTAATGGAACTGCATTGGAAGTATGCAGTGGGGTACCCCAGGGCTCTGTCTTAGGCCTGGTACTCTTCAATATCTTCCTTGTAGCATGGATTAACTACAAAAAGGCATTCAATTCTCTGCCACATGATTGGATAATCAAGTGCCTAGAAATAACAGCAGTCAGTAGAAACATCAGGCACTTTGTACAAAGATGGATGGCACAATGGAAGACACAGTTGCAGGTCAATGGGACTGGGAGAGGTTAATATCAAGACAGGAATATTTCAAAGAGATTCACTATCACCACTACTATTTGTCATTGCACTGTTTCCTCTGTCAACAGTACTGAATAATTCAGCCTGTGGCTACAAACATCAAAAACATCTGCCAGGCTACTCTACCTCCTTTACATGGATGATCTGAAACTGTATGGAAAAACACCATCTAAAATACACTGCTCAAAAAAATAAAAGGAACACTTAAACAACACAATGTAACTCCAAGTCAATCACACTTCTGTGAAATCAAACTGTCCACTTAGGTAGCAACACTGATTGACAATCCATTTCACATGCTGTTGTGCAAATGGAATAGACAACAGGTGGAAAGCATAGGCAGTTAGCAAGACATCCCCAATAAAGGAGTGGTTCTACAGGTGGTGACCACAGACCACTTCTCAGTTCCTATGCTTTCTGGCTGATGGTTTGGTCACTTTTGAATGCTGGTGGTGCTTTCACTCTAGTGGTAGCATGAGACGGAGTCTACAACCCACACAAGTGGCTCAGGGAGTGCAGCTCATTCAGGATGGTACATCAATGCGAGCTGTGGCAAGAAGGTTTGCTGTGTCTGTCAGCGTAGTGTCCAGAGCATGGAGGCGCTACCAGGAGACAGGCCAGTACATCAGGAGACGTGGAGGAGGCCGTGGGAGGGCAACAACCCAGCATCAGGACCGCTACCTCCACCTTTGTGCAAGGAGGGACAGGAGGAGCACTGCCAAAGCCCTGAAAAATGACCTCCCGCGGGCAACAAATGTGCATATGGCTGCTCAAACAGTCAGAAACAGACTCCATGAGGGTGGTATGAGGGCCCGACGTCCACAGGTGGGGGTTGTGCTTACAGCCCAACACCGTGCAGGAAGTTTGGCATTTGTCAGAGAACACCAAGATTGGCAAATTCGCCACTGGTACCCTGTGCTCTTCACAAATGAAAGCAGGTTCACACTGAGCACATGTGACAGACGTGACAGGGTCTGGAGATGCCATGGAGAACGTTCTGCTGTCTGCAACATTCTCCAGCATGACCAGTTGGCAGTGGGTCAGTAATGGTGTGGGGTGGCATTTCTTTTGGGGGCCGCACAGCCCTCCATGTGCTCGCCAGAGGTAGCCTGAGATCCTCAGACCCCTTGTGAGACCATATGCTGGTGCGGCTGGCCCTGGGTTCCTCCTAATGCACGACAATGCTAGACCTCATGTGGCTGGAGTGTGTCAGCAGTTCCTGCAAAAAGAAGGCATTGATGCTGTGGACTGGCCCGCCCATTCCCCAGACCTGAATCCAATTGAGCACATCTGGGACATCATCTCTTGCTCCATCCACCAATGCCACGTTGCACCACAGACTGTCCAGGAGTTGGGGGATGCTTTAGTCCAGGTGTGGGAGGAGATCCCTCAGGAGACCATCTGCCACCTCATCAGGAGCATGCCCAGGCGTAGGAAGGTCATACAGGCACGTGAAGGCCACACACACTACTGAGTCTCATTTTGACTTGTTTTAGGGACATTACATCAAAGTTGGATCAGCCTGTAGTGTTTTTTTTTTCACTTTAATTTGGAGTGTAACTTCAAATCCAGACCTCCATGGGTTGCTAAATTTGATTTCCATTGATAATTTTTGTGTGATTTTGTTGTCAGCACATTCAACTATGTAATGAACAAAGTATTTAACAAGAATATTTCATTCATTCAGATCTAGGATGTCTTATTTTCGTGTTCCCTTTATTTTTTTGAGCAGTGTAGAATCACTGCTCAACACTGTCTACATATACAGCCAATATACTGCAATGGAGTTTGGTTTGGACAAATGTGTCACACTATCAAACAAGGAAAAATAGTGAAAACTGAAGGAATCAAGATGCCTCATGAAAATAACATTAAGAGTCTGGATGAGGATGATTACTACAAATACCTGGGTATCCTTCAAGCTGATATCAACCACACTGAAGTCAAGAAAAAGATTAGAGGTGAATATATCAAGACAGTGAAGAAGATCTTAAAATCCAAACTCAATGAAGACCAGAAAAATAATCATAATGAATCACACCCTTCATCCACACAGTGACATTGACAGACCTACCTACTAAGGCAAATAGGTGGGTATGGATTGTTGCATTGTTGCATATACATCAAATAGTTGAAGAAGAAAAAGGGGCTTTGGAAGAATATCTGAAGGACAATGAAGAAAGATGCACTGAATTTAGTATGCCAGGAAGGCTTACTGATGACTGGAGAGATCAAACTGGCCTACAAAAGAGACCAAATGCAGAACAGAATGGAGGCAAGGGAAGACAAAGCACTATATGGCCAGTACATTAAAAAATAGCAGGGAAAGCATATCATAACAAGACCTGGCAATGGCTAAGAGCAGGAAGTTGATGAAGGAGGCTAAGGGACTAATTCTGACTGCACAAAACCAAGCCTTAAGGACAAATGCATACAAAGCCAGAACTGAAAGGACAAGAACAGACAGTAAGTGCTGTCTATGCAAAGAAGCTGAAAAAACAGTGGCCCACTTGGTAAACCGCTGCAAGATGCCCAGACTAACTACAAACAGCAGCATGACAAATAGCAACCATGTTGCATTGGAAGATCTGCAAGAAATATCATTTGCCTGCAAGCAAGAACTGGTGGAACCATGAAATAGAGAAAGCCATAGAAAATGAATTGCTCTGGGATTTTAGAATTCAAACAAACAAGCATTTGCCACATTGAACACCTCAGACTTAGCAATTGTCGTAAGAAAGACAAAACAATTTGGATAGAGTATGTGGCAGTGTCTGGAGACAGTAGAAAAGAAAAAATTGGAGAAGATAGCAAAATACAAAGACCTACAAATAGAAATAGAATGACTGTGGCAAAGCCAAGCAAGAGTAGTACCAATAATAATAGGTGGCTTGGGTGCAACTTGAATACCACTGGCATTGACAAATTTGCATTCCGTCAATTGCAAAAGGCAGCTTTACTTAGAACAGCTTTCATTCTGCAATTATATCTGTAACACCATCAAACATCCAGATCTGCCTATCCCAGGTCCTTGGTAAGACCTTGATAGGTAGACAAAAATGCCAAATCCAGTGTGAACATCTGACTGGCGATGATGATGATGATGATGATGATGATGATGATGATAACAATAACAACCCCACAGCTGGATTAACACCTGTCTGGAAAACTTTGGAATCGGCAAAAGTATTTGTACATTTTTGAAAGCAAATATATAAAAATGGAAAACAGTTTTAACAACAAATGGGGAGAACATTGGTGAAATCAACATCAGGTAAGGAATCTTCCAGGGGGACTCATTTTCACCACTACTGTTCAGCATCATACTCATTCCACTGAAAAAAATCCTACAAAACACAAAACTGGGATACCAAATCTCAAGCCAACATGGCAAGATAAACCATCTACTATACATGGATGACTTAAAACACTGGAGGAAAATGTGATGTCAACTTGACAAGAGCATGGCTTAAGATGGGAACCATCAAGAAAGAAATGGAAGGTTTAATACTTACTGCTCAAGAACAAGCACTGCAAACTAATGCCATGAAAGCAAAGATACAAAAATCCAACAACAAAGTCGAAATTGTTTCACATTTAATATGTGAATGTAGAAAAATTGCACAAACTGATTACAAAGCTAGACACAACCGAGTTGCTAAATTAATCCACTGGTCATAATGTAAAAAATACAACTTATCTGTATCCAAAAAATCATGGGAAAATGACATGGGAAAATTTATCAAAAATGAGAAGGTGAAGATCTTGTGGGACTTTCGAATACAGACAGATTGTCATTTGGAGCACAACACACCAGATATCACAGTAGTCGAAAACTGAAACGTACAATTTATTGATATCTCTGTACCAGGAGACACCAGAGTCGAAGAAAAAAAACTGGAAAAAATCATGAAATATTGTGACCTGGCCACTGAAACTATACAATTATGGATGAAATATGTAACAGTGATACCTATTGTCATCGGAGCACTTGGTACTGTGACCAAGAATTTTATAAAATATGTCAAGAAATTGCAGCTTCCTGCAATAACACCAGCAGAAGTGCAAAAAACTGTGCTTGATACTTAGGACGCTGGCAGCAACCCATATCAACTATTAGCACCAATCAATGGTATTTGTAATGCATTTTTGAATGTTCAGTTGACTGAGTTTCATGTTTAATGAATAAAGTAAATAGTAATAATAACAACAACATCATCTCAAAGGGCACACTTGGTGGACCACTAGGCTTTTTCTGCTATCAGTTTTCTGTGCTTCTATGGAACTAAGAGATTGCTATGGTCTTGCTTGTTAAACTTCAAATTATGCAGACTGGATTCTAGTACTAATGCTACCAAGAATAGAAATTTTTTAATCTGTTAATGGTGATAATCTGCTGCTGCCATCTCTTCCAGCCACCAAAGGTTTGCTCTAGGGAAGGAATAGTTAATATATAGGAAAGACAATGAAGAAGAAAATGCAACCTAAAAACAAATGTGAGGATGAGAATGATATTTCACACTGTGACCCCAGATCAACTGATTCACCCGCTGAATAGCTACAGGAAGGCAAGCTAAGTCAACGAAGAATAGTTTACATTACAATAACTACCATTCATCCAATTTGAATATAATGACAAAACTATGTTCTTTATAGATCAGAAAGTCAGGCTGGTTTGAATGAATGGTTGGAATGGGTGTGGTTTAGGTCTTTTTAGGGGCTTTACTAAAAGGGAGAATTTTACATATTCCAAATGATCAAAAAGTTTAGTATGCTCTCCAAATGCTCTTTTCTATGTGAGAAAACCATGATCCTTTTGTCCATGGAGCCCAAGTCGGCCTTAACGTTTAGGGAATGGAAGAGAAACAAGGAGCTTCCATGTGGGATACATATTGAAGTGGCTAGTGAATAGCAACCAATACGCAAAACTAGATGTTCATTGAAACAAGTCACACTAATGAATTTTATAGCAGTAAATAACATACCTGCAGAGGTGTTGATGGTGTTTGTCCACCAGGATACCCAGCTTCAAAAGAAAAATATAACATATGTAATAAATATCTTACTTGCATAACAGATTATGACAGGTTATAACAGATAACATAACAGATTATATCAGGGCTTACAAAGGAGCCTGTGTGAGAAACCTCTCTTTCAGAACTACCGTATTTTTCAGACTATAAGATACTCTAAACTATAAGACACACCTAGCTTTTATGGAGGAAAACAAGGGGAAAAAATCTGCCTCTGTCTCGTAGCAATTTGCCTCTTTGCAGCAAACAGCAAACAGCCTGGTCAGCTTCAGCACAGCCTGATTTAGCATGAGCAGCTGATTGTCGTTTGGACCAGCCTCCTGACAACCAGATGTTTCAGGCTGCAGGGATTGCCATCGCCTATCACCGTCTCCATGCACCCCGTTTTCGGCTTCCGTGTGCCCCATTTTCAGCCTCTGCTGAAAGCAGGTCGTGTGGAGGCCGAAAATGGGGCGCTGATAGGCGGTGGCGATCCCTGCTGCTTGCTGTTTGCTGCAAGGAGGCAAATTGCTGGGAGGCAGAGATCGAAGGGTGGGGCCAGTGGGTGGGTGGGGCTTCAGCAATATTTGCTGTATAAGCTGCACAGACATTTCCACCCACTTTTTTTTTTGGGGGGGGGGGAGTGCATCTTATACATCAAAAAAAATACAGTAATTATTCATTTGATATTACAGCCTGGAGCTCTCTAATTTTTTTACCCAAGGTAATTTTCAACAGTAACTGAAGCTATCTAATTACACTTGAGTTAAAAAAAATGGGAATAGAGTTGGTAGTAGATCTAGCGCAGCAATGAACATATTATGACTCAAGGGAATTACTATGATTCAAGGAAATGGATATATCTAGTTTAGTGAAAAGAAGGACTGGGGTGACATGATAGCAAAGCTGCCACAAAGAAGAGAAGCTCAACCTATTGTCCAAAACATCAGAAGGCAGGACAAGAAGCAATGGATGGAAACTGATCAAGGAGAGAAGCAACCTAGAACTAAGAAGAAATTTCCTGACAGTTAGAACTATTAATCAGTGGAACAATTGTCTCCAGAAATTCTGGGTGCGCCATCACTGGAGGTTTTGAAGAAGAGACTGGATAGTTATTTGTCTTAAATGCTTAAGCAGGGGATTGGACTAGAAGACCTCCAAGGTCCCTTCCAATTCTGTTATTCTGATATTCAATGCTTTTAGCAAGACAGGGAAAAAGACAGTCCTATGTACAGTCATGAAGCCCATTTATTACAGCTGAACAAATTTTATTTATATCAAGTACATACTACTGCTAAAATTTGTTGTATTTATGGACACACACATTGCACCAAAGCAACGTAATATATAAAACACAAATCAGGACTCCCAATAGCTGTCAACAGTAAGAAAGTATGTACATTTTCCCTAATGCATTTGATTCTTTTAACATAAAAATCACTTAAATCAGATTTTATATTAAATGCTATAGGTTTTTTGTTCTGTTTTTGAGCTTAAATTATTCTTTGCTCTGTTTTCTTTGTCATGAGAGTGAGAACAATCGACAAGTGGAATGGCCTGCCTTCAGAGGTTTTGGGTGCTCCAGCACTGAAGGCTTTTAAAAAGAGATTGGGCAGCATTTATCCAGAATGCTATAGGGCAGGGATGTCAAACTCAAAGCCTGTGGGCTGGATCTGGCCCATGGAGTGCTTAGATCTGGCCCGCAGGGCCACCCTGGAAACAGCAAAGGACTGGCCTGTGGTACCTCTGCCAGCGAAAATGGAGCTCGGTCTTTCTGACCTCCATTTTCAGCCATGATTGCCTCCTGTAGCCCTCTACCTGCAAAAACAGAGCTTGGGAGAATGCACGTGGTCCTCCAAAGCTCCGTTTTCGCTGGCAGAAAGGTAGCAAAACAAATTAGAAACAAAACGAAACAAAAGGAGAAATGTTTCCCCTCTGCATTTGAGCATGCAAGAAGGGACAGGAAAGGAGAAAGGGAAAGATGAAAGACAAAGAAAAAGAAGGAAAAATGGGAAGAGAGCAAGGAAAAATAAGAGAGCAAGGAAAAATAAGGAAGGAGGGGAAGGAAGAAGAAAGGAAAATGAAGAGGGAAGGGAAAAGGAAGGAAGGAAGGAAGGAAGGAAGGAAGGAAGGAAGGAAGGAAGGTTGGTTGATTATGAGAGGCAGGGAGTCCACCACAGGTGCCCATCCTGACACAAGTGATGTTGAGAGGGCCATGCCCACCCTGGCCAGGCCCCCAAGGTCAAACACAACCTTGATGTGGCCCTCAATGAAATCCGAGTTTGACACCCCCTGCTATACGGTCTCTTGCTTGTGCAGGGGGTTAGCCTAGAAGACCTCCAAGGTCCCTTCCAACTTTCTTATTGTATTATTCTGGAATGGCAGAAGGCTCACATGCTCTTCCTAATTTCTGTACCAATTTTCTTTATTCTCATGTGAAATACTGTACAGATGCATTTCCACTGAGCAACATAGCATTCATTGTGATCAGCTTCTAAAGCCACTTTTAAAAGCTACATTAAGCAGAAACCACAGAACTGATTCCAAAAGTATGCAAAACATCAGTGGACTACAATGGAGCTAAGCCTGTGTACAGATACTGTTTCTTGAATCAATGTCTATGCATGGGAACATATATTAGGCTGTAATGCAATTTACTTCTAAAGAAGCAAAATATGATTATGGTTTCTTCTTATTTGAATTATACCTGATATGGGCATTGAACCACCTCCACCGTAAGTTTGGGATTGAGGCTGTGGGTAGCCAAAACCAGAGCCAGAGGGGGGTACTCCAAAACCAGCACCTGGAAGAAAATGCTTATTAATTTGCAGATTAAAATCTAAAATTTAAAACTAAAATATATAAAAATACAATTTATTCAAAACATTCATTACTAGCAAAAGCTGTTTTCTAATTACTGCTTCTCTTATCCATACAATACCATATCACCTAAATTTTATATACGTAAGACGTATTTTTTTTCTTTTAAAGTTTTATGTTAAGATTTATCTTTACTTGTAGAAATTTTTCCTAACGTGTCTTCCTAATGGTCAGCCTGTGATAAGCATCAGATATGTAGAATCTTTAAACATGACCAGGACTTGATTAATACTTGATTAGGAAACAAGTAGCTGGTATGTATTTAATGTCGTCCCTCCATTTTATTTCACAAAAATCCATTATTGTTATACACAGTGATAATACCAGGATAGCAGTCACACTACCTGTTCCTTAGATTTCTTGAAATATCAGACATAAACATTCAGCACTCGGAAATCCACACTGCAAACAGCACGTAGAAACATACCTCCCGGATAAGTTGGCATGCCACCAGGCTGAGGTAGTCCAGGGTATCCAAGAGATGCATGAGGATACCCACCAGGTGCGGCTGGGTAACCTGCAATCCCTGGGAATTCCCCAGTTGGTGGAGCTACATTATATTCACTGCCTCCTACAGGTGGGAAGCCTCCAGGCACCGCAGGGTAAGAATACTGGCTAGCAGGTGGATAAACAGACTCCTGTCCTGTAGGCTGAATAGAAACAATTGGAAAACAGATTCTATTATTCATTTAATTAAGTAGCATGGGATGCTAGAACTACAGATATTATAGCCAGCATGGTAATTCTAAAAATAATGTCCACATGCCTGGGAAGCATCTCTCCTGAGGTTGGTTTCCTTACAATGATAGATGCTTTTGGACAATCTTTCCCATATGCAGTATATAGCTCATTGTGGCAATTTTATGAGACATTTTGAGGGTATAATTATTCCTTAATCATCAGTTAATGTTTTTGTTACATGATAATCTGTATCTGAAATTCAGAATCTTATTTGGACAGGGAACTTAGCCCAGCACACATCTCAGCTACATTATTAGATACACAAGTGAAGAGCAGTTGATAAGTTCTGCTCAACTTTCCTTAGGCCTAATTTTTTTCTGTAAAAAAATGGGGATGACAAAGACCAGACTTGACTCCAGATTGCAATATTGTGGGGAAAATGCTTAGAAATCCAACTTGAGGAAACACTCGGGACCACCCCAATACATCTTTGAGTGTGCATGTCCAACCAATCATAGAATCTATTTCATCACGCCGATGGGTTCATGTCCATGCGCATTTGGGTTTGAGTTTCCTCCCAGTTAAAAAGTCCTAAAAAACTATTCCTGTACATGTTCAGTCTCAGTCAAGCTTAAGATCCTTTCTTAACAATTTATTTCCTATTCATGTTTCAATTTCTTCTATAAAAGTCCCTTCTCTTTTATTCTACAATATCAACTGGATAGAATAAGAGGTTACTTGCTTTAGAGGGCCATGAATTAAGATTTGGATGGCACAGCTATTTATGGTATGACAAAGTTAAAGTAAATGTCAGTTTTAATAACCATTTTGTTAGAGTTTGGAATAAATATAAAACAAGATTTTCTTGTAAAGGTGCTTCTTTGGGCAGAGTTACAATCTTTGTAGCATTCCCATAATCAAGTGATCAAAATTCAGATGTTTGGCAACTGGGTCATACTTATAGCCATTGCTGTGTCCTAAGGTCATGTGATAACTTTTTGCAACCTTTTGACAAGCAAAGTCAATAGGGAAGCCAGATTCACTTAACAACCCATTTTCTAACTTATCAACTGCAGCAATTCACTTGGCAAGACAGAAATGTTGGGCTCAATTGCAGTCATAAGTCGATGACTACCTGTATTTATAATTAAAAGTAAGATTTAAATCAGACAAAAAGAATTATGCGTTTGACTTTGTGAAAAATGAATTGGAAATCCTACTGCATGGTAGAGATGAACGCATTATTGATTAGGTCTATAAATTGTTATTGAAACTGAATTTGGAGAATGAATATTGGAAGCATTGCATGGGCAAGAAACTTTGGATATAATGTAATGCTTGAATAACGGGAGTCTCATGACCCTGTCGGAGTCTGAGGAGGAAGATGAACAGCTGACAGGGAGTAGGAGTATGGCTCCTTTGGTTGTAGAAGCAACTGGGGAAGGGCAAAGTCTGGCTGGGCAGAGCAGGGGAGACGTAGAACGAGAGAGAGGGAGTTAAGAGGAAGACCTAGGCCCACCCCCTCTTCATCCTCGGGCACGCAGGGAGGAACACCTGGGAATAGAGCTTAAAAGAGAGGCATGCTGAGTGAGGCAGCTGCCGGGAGCAACGTGAGTTTATCTTGTGTTGACTTTGGTTATCTGTGTTCCTGGCATCTTTCCAACCATGTTGAGGTATTGGTGTGTTCCTGCCCTGCTGGACTAATTTTACCTCATTTTGCCTTGATTGGACTTATAATTACAATTTTTGTTGACCATGTTTGGTCTTGATTCTTTGCAGCCCAAGGCTGTTCCTGGGAGAGTTTTTCTCCAGCCAGAAGGTAACCAGGATACTGGGGGCAAAGTTGGAGCTAATAAAGGGACTCCTACTGATTATCTGAGTGTGTTGACTTTGTGCCACATCCCAGGTCATCACAGGAAGAATATGAGTACAAAATTATAATTTAAAAGAAATTTTTTTAAATTGGAATAACTGCCAGAATCCTGACATGATGTAACATTGGTATTTAAAACCAGATAAATTGTCAAGAATGTATAAAGGTATTTCAAATAAATGTTGGATATACAAATGTAAAGAAGGGACCTTTTATCACTTATGGTGGACATATGATAAAGAAAAGAAATACTGGAGTGGGATTCCCATCTTAATACAGAAGATTGTCATAGTGAACATAAAGATAAAAATAGAAACTTTGCACCTCACAAAAACTGGGAAGAATGATTTCAGAAAATGACTGGCTCAACTTATCAGGAGGGATTTAAACTAAAATTGAGGGGGACGGGTGACCAATCTTTAGGATCTCCAGGACCCAATTCCAAGCAAAATAGAATAGAATTATTTATTGGCCAGGTGTGTGTGACTGGACACACAAGAAATTTGTCTTGGTGCAAATGCTTTCAGTGTACATAAAAGAAAAGATGCATTCATTGAGTCAAGAATCATCAGTACAACACTTAATAATAGTCATAGGGTACAATAAACTCCAAGAAAACCAATCAAATAATGAGGGAAGGATCGATGGAAAGGAAGACAAACTCAAACATCAAATAGGAGATATAGTAAACTAGTGTCAGACATAAAGATCTCAAATGCCTATATACAAATGCTCAAACTTTGGGGAACAAATAGGGCAAGCTTGAATTATATACATATAATGTACGTATAATAGTAGATAATAGTAGATATTATATAGTTACAATTCCTGAAACTTGGTAGGATGAAACCCATGACTAGAACACACCAATAGAAGGATAAAAACTATTTTTAAAAAAGTCCCAGATCCCATAAAAGAGGGGGTTGGCAGTTGCACTATATGTAAAAGACTACTATATTGCTACAGAAATGCATGAAACCAAAGACGAAAACCTCCTAGAATGCATATGGGTCAATATAAAAGAAAAAAGAATCACATTGCCATAGCTGTATACTACAGGTCACCCAACCAAGCAGAAAAAGGAAAGGATACTTTTTGCTAACCAATTAACAAATATTTGTAGGAAACACACTATAATAGTAATGGGAGAGTTTAATTACCCTGATATCAACTGGAAGACTAATTTTGCATCAAATGAGAGATCGAACAGGTTCCTGAACAATCTAGCTGACAATTTTGTTGCTCAAAAGGTAGAGAAGGGAACTAGAGGGACTTTTATACTGGACTTCATTCTTACTAACAGAGAAGAAGTAATAGAGGGAGTTGAAATTACAGGAACCCTGGGTGAGATTGACCATGTTATATTGGAATTCAATATAATGCAAACACAAGAAATAGAACATAATAAAACTAATAAATATATAATAAACATAATAAATAGAACATAATAAAACTTCAACTTTAGACTGTCTACTATTGACCTCACCCCTTTCCTAAGAGGTCTGTAGGGGGTTGCATAAGCGTACCAATGTGCCTACTGTCCCTGTCCTATTGTTTCTTTTATATATATACCCAAACTATACGGCCTCCCAAAAATACACAAAGAAGGCATACCTCTCAGACCCATAGTCAGCTCCAGAGGAGCACCACTACAAAACCTCGCTAAACACTTAGCAAAACAGCTACAGCCCCATGCTGAAACAGCAGCTTCACATGTACAAAACTCATACCACTTCTTGGAAATGATCAAAGATCTACACGTGGAACAAGAAGATCTGCTTGTAAGTTTCGACGTGGTTTCACTATTCACTCAAGTCCCGATAAAAGAAACTCTTGATATCATCAAAAATAAATACCAACCAGCTAAACACCTCATGGAACTAACAGAACACTGCTTAACCAACACATATTTCATATACAAAGGACAAAGATACAAGCAAATTGAAGGAGCCCCTATGGGATCACCACTGTCACCCATCATTGCAAACCTGTTCATGGAAGAATTCGAATCCAGAGCCCTGGCTAATGCCACCCACAAACCCAAACTATGGTTAAGATACATCGATGACACATTTGTGATTTGGTCCCACGGAAAAGTTAATCTAAACAATTTCCTAACACACCTAAACAGCACACACCCCAAAATCAAGTTCACCATAGAAACGGAAGCAAACAAACAACTACCATTCCTAGATGTACTAATCTACAAAAAAATAGATGGCACACTAGGACACACCATATACCAGAAGAAAACACACACTAACCGCTACCTCAACGCCCAATCCCACCACCACCCAGACAGATAAACTCCGTGGCCAAAACACTAATCGCCAGAACCAAACGCCTGGCAGACAAGACACACATAAAGACTGAACTATGCACCCTGACTAAAGTACTGACAGCCAACGGCTTCCACAAAAGCAAAATCACCGGCTTGATCCATAAAAACACACTGAGACATAATGGAGACCTAGAAGATGAACAGACCTATGGAACAGCTGTCCTGCCCTACATAAGAGGTACTACAGACAAAATCAGTAAGATACTACACGGGCATCACATCAAGACTGCCTTCAAAACAGACAGAAAAATAGCAGCCATCCTTAGAAACCCAAAGACAAAATTGACCTGAAAAACCAAGGCATATACGAAGTCCCCTGTGCATCATGCCCGGCCACATACATTGGACAGGCCAATAGAAGAATAAGTACCCACCTGGATGAACACAAAAATGCAGTAAGAAAGCTGGAACACACTTCCTCACTAGTCCAACACATGAAAGCCACAAGTCATAGCATCAACTTCAATGGCACCAAAACCCTAGCCACTATAGAAAACCCCAGCCACAGAATTATCAGAGAAGCCATAGAGATTGAAAAAAGACCTGAAAGCATGAATAGAAGAGATGATTCCACCAGACTGTCAATTATTTGGAAGCCTGCACTCACAAAAAAAAAAATCTCCACACCACAAGCCAGGCAAACACCTGGGCACAAACAGATCCCCACTGATACCTCCAGCTCAAACACACCCCAACCAGGCACCCAGATGAAACCTAGCTTCCTAACAAATGATAGCCGTCCATTTACTCAGAGCCAAGCTGCACTAAAAGCCTCCAATACAGGAAACCCAATGTTGCCAGCCAATCAAGACAAAAAAAGCCACAAAACAGACAGAAGATATTAGAAACACCAATCAAGCAGAACACAGCAAACTCCAAGACCAATAAACACAGACCAAGACTCCCAACCAATCCGGATGAAGAAAAAACCATTCTGGCACAGAAGTAGGCTAGCCCCAAATTTAAAACTGAAACAACTGTAAAAGTCTGACTCACAGACGAACACAATACAGAAGCCTGATGATGGCAGATGAGATTCTGCCGAAACGTTGCTACAACTTTAAAAGCACAACTACAATGACGTGGAAAAATACCCGAACAAAGCTGAATACCATACATGTAAGTACCCGCGAAAACTTAACACACACACACACACACACACACACATATATATATATATATATATATATGTTTCTTATATGTATCCATGTATTCATAACTATTATCTTGTAAGCAATTGAAAAATAATCATATATAAATAATCATATAAAAATAATCATATTGGAGTCTTAAGTTTTTAAGAGAGGTGACTTTAACAAACTCAGAGAGAACTTGGGAAAGATTCCTTGGCTGAAATTCCTAAAGGAGAAAACTGTTACAAGTTTGCACCAATCCAACCAGCATACAAGTAAATAATTCAGCATGATTCATTTATAGAAAACAACTTCTTTATTTACAATAATATAAAGTATGATGCATGAATACAATACCCGTGCAGCAGAAGCCAGAACCAGAACTCAGAATCCAGAAGTTATAATCACAGAAGGAAAGATTTACAAGTACAAACTAACTCTTATATATATATATATATATATATATATATATATACAGATGAGTCAAGCTAAGCCACGCCCAGGCTCTGGGCTGTCTGACGTGGCTCACAACAGATCCTGTTTCTTAGTCAACAAACAGTTCCCATTGGCTGACTTGTTGTTATGGCTATCCCAGCTCATAATTTCTTACATACTGACAAAACAACTCAAGAAGCTTGGGAAACACGGAAAAATATGATCATAAAATCCAAGACCAGCACAATATCACTGAAAAAGAAAAACACAAGAAGAAATCAGCATAGTTGCACAAAGATCTCTCTGATAAACTGAAAGAAAAAGGGATAAATACCAAAAATGGAAAGAGGAATACATTAAATAAGGCAGCAGATAGCCAGAATCTGCAAATATGAAGTCAGAAAGCAAAGGCTCAGAATGAACAAAGACTTGCAACTAAAAGACAAAGTTAAAAAAGTTTCTTCCAACATATAAATAATAAGAAAAAAATCAAGGAAACATTTGTCCACTAAAGAGAGAAGATGGCAAAGAAGTAACAGGCAGTAGAGAGAGGTCCCTTCCAACTCTGTTTTTGTTGTTATTACTAACTTTTCTTTTGGATTTAATGGAAAAAAATGGAACTTTGATGTGTTGATGGTAACAAGATTACTTTAGACACAAAAGTGGAAGGACACTTTTATTCCTACAATGGACAAATGGTTGCAAAGTTGATGGAGTTAGCAGAGATAGCCAAATTGATTGCTTTGATCAAAGAAAAAAATACAATTACTTTTGTTTCTATTTGGAAACTGCTTCTGGACTTTGTGCTTGAGGTGGAAAAAAATGAAACTTTGATTTTGGATTTTCCTGATTAGATAAGTTTGTTGGCTAGTTTACATTATGTAGAAGCAAAAAGTTGAGGTTTAATGCTATTTTTATTCTATTATTCTATTGTGTTATTATTCTTCTACTGCACTAAAGGGAGTTGGAAGTCAATGCTTTCTCTTTCTTTTTCCCTTCGCCTTACAATTTTTCCCTTCCCCTTCCTCTCCCTTATTTTCCTATTCTTTTCTTTTGTATTTTTATATATTTTATATTATAAATTAATAAATTATAAAAGAGAAAAAAGAAATGAACAGAAAATCATTGCTACTTATAGTTTTCTTAATAAATAGAATATATGAGACTTTATTTTGCCAATCTCAAAATAGATTCAGACCAAGCGGTGGTTAGTCAGGTTTATTTATTTCATAAATTGCTTGATCACCCTCTTTTTGAAACTTGGTTTCCCATGCCCCAGCATATAATAAACAAATCAATACTTGCAGGATAACCAGGAAAAGATGGGTAGCCTGATGGAGGATATCCTGGATATGACATTCTGTTAAAGTAAGAAAAAAAAAACCACTTAAGACCTTCATCATTTCAAGCATCGGAGCACCAATGAACTCACAGAATGGAGAGAAGCAGCATATAAAACTCCTTTTATTCACATCACTTTTTAATTGTGTATTTATGTGTGTGATATATAGTAAAACCTGTTAATAATAATAATTTTATTTGTTTTTAAATTTCTTCAAATGAATACTTTAATTTTTAGGAATGCATGAAAAAAGGAAGAAAGGAACGATGAGCCTGAGATTAATTCATTCCATCAGTTATATTTTGGCTATATTATAAATGAATCATAGCAACCATGTCTGCCTGACAGCTGACTACCAATGGGAAAGAAATTGCGCAGAGAAGCAAGGATTTTCAGCAACTCTGTTTAAGAAAAGGGCAACGTTTTCCCTCCCCATTGTGGTGCTGAAAACCGAACTGAAGAAGCTTCTTGGATGAGAAGTGAAACATCTTCAAGGAAAAAACAACAACTCCAGTTGCCTTTTGAAAAAGCACCTTTGGGACAACCATGATATGGATGAGGGAGAATCTCCATAGACATTTGCTGAAAACTGTATTTCCCAGAACAGCTGGAAATCAAATTCCTGGGAGTGAGAAATATTTATTTCCTTGTGAGGAAATTTATCTCCCTTAGCTCAAAACTTCCCAGAAGGAATAGGGTGTGTAATGAAGGCATTTCCATGCATTCACAGGTCTACTTTATTTATTTATTTATTTATTTAACTTATTAGCTACCCATCTGATAGGCAACATATCTAGGGAAACAACCTATTCTATTTAGTAAAGTTAGTACCCTTAGTAAAGAAAGACTGCTAACCTCTGTCTTCGAGCAGCTACGCATTTTAAGGAAGCAGAAAGGAGCACTGACAATGAAGAGAATGACTTCATGCATTTTGATTATTAGTTGCCAGCACTATAGGTCAAATTAAGGAGAGAGATTAAACGCAAAGAGAAAATTTTCCTGATGAGTACTTTAATTTAGCATGCTATCATTAATTTACGAACCGCTAGAGAAAAGCGTCAAACTCAAGAGTAGCGAAAAGGCCTTAAATCATTTTCACGACTTATTTCAGGCGCGTTTATTCCGCATTTTCGGTTCGTGAATGACCTATATTCACAATAAGAAAGTTATGCTTAATGCTCTGAAGGGGCGGGGGGGGGACATCAAATGGAAAGAGAGCGGAGTGAGGTAGCTGGTTACAGGCGGAGACCTGAGCCCCTCTAACTGGGATATTCCCCCCCCCCCACCGCCCCATAAAACAGCATTAAAAAGAAAGAAAGAAAAAACAAGATCCAGAGAACTAGAGGCAGGCACACGCCCCGTGAGAGGAACCTGGACAAGGAGGGGGAAAGCCCGTCTCTAGGAGAAAGGGATTGTCTCTGCTGCCTCAGACGGAATACTTCCCGGCTCGGCCTCCCTTAGCCCTGCACTCGCCTGGAATGTGGCTAAGAAACTCGGCGTCCCCTCCGACCGACAACGCTCAGTACGAAGAGCAAAATGGAGACGGGCGAGACGAGCCGCTTCCGCCCCTTTCCTGGTCCGAGGGCAGGAACGTTTTCGCCCCGCCTGCCCCGCCGGCCTTCCGTCTTCTCTGGGTAACGCCGAGACGAAAGTGAGATTCCCCCGGAAGGACGAACTTCAGAATCGGCTGCGCATCCCTGTCCGTCCTAGTCCAGACGCTGAACCGGACTAGACTTCTATGGAGACCGGCTGCGCCTCAGCAACGCCTGCCGCCACTCCTCGGGCACCGCTACTTGAGCGTTAGTCTTCGTCTCTCTCTTCGAAGGAGTGCAGCGCTGCCGCAAACCGCTTCGGGGGAAAAAATGCATCTGTGCTGGGTCGGGAGTCAACCTTGCGCTTTAGGTCCTGCCTCCCACCTTCAGGAAAGGGGGCACTTGCCTGGTCAAACGAAGGATGTGTAACCGCCAGCCCGCAATTTTACTTGTTAGATGAAAACTGTTTTGCTTTAGCTTTAATAGGTAATTCTATTAAATCGAGGAAGCAAGGTTTAGTTACCTTAATGTTTTTTAGAGTTACCTTAATGTTTTTAGAAGGGAGCCAGGAAAAATCCACTGATAAGAGCACACTTGGCTGTGGATCTATTTTGGCATCACAGATCTGAATCAGAGGTTCAGGTAGTCCTGTTTACAACCAAAATTAAATCCAAATTTTTTAAAGTTAAATTTTGCCTCATTTTATAATCTTCCTTGCCATTTATTAAGTGAATCACTGGTGTTATTAAATGACTCTGGCTTCCCCAAATAACTTTGCTTGTCAAGACCACATGACTGCAGGACATTGCAACCTTCATAAGTCAGTTTCAAACATCTGAAATTTGATCACATGCCCATGGATGTGCTGTAATGAAAAAGTCCTAAGTAACTGTTTTCAGTGATGTTGTAACCTGTCACTAAATAGATTGTTGTAAGTTGAGGACTATCTGTATTGAGCTACACAAATATCTGCATGGGATCTTGATGAAACTTGTCATGTTTCTAATCTCATTTCTGTATATACAGGTGAAACTCAAAAAATTAGAATATCGTGCAAAAGTTCATTTATTTCAGTAATGCAACTTAAAAGGTGAACCTAATATATGAGATAGACTCATTACATGCAAAGCAAGATAGTTCAAGCTGTGATTTGTCATAATTGAGATGAGTATGGCTTACAGGTCATGAAAACCCCAAACCCACAATCTCAGAAAATTAAGCCATAACACCTGCAAAGGGTTCCTGAGCCTTTAAATGGTCTCTCAGCCTCGTTCAGTAGGAATCACAATCATGGGAAAGACTGCTGACCTGACAGTTGTGCAGAAAACCATCATTGACACCCTCCATAAGGAGGGAAAGCCTCATAAAGTAATTGCAAAAGAAGTTGGATGTTCCCAAAGTGCTGTATCCAAGCACATTAATAGAAAGTTATGTGGAAGGGAAAAGTGGAAGAAAAAGTTGTACAAGCAGCAGGGATGACCGCAGCCTGGAGAGGATGGTCAGGAAAAGGCCATTCTAAAGTGTTGGGGACTTTCACAAGGAGTGGACTGCGGCTGGAGTCAGTGCATCAAGAGCCACCACACACAGATGGATCCTGGACATGGGCTTCAAATGTCGTATTCCTCTTGTCAAGCCATTCCTGAGCAACAAAACATCAGAAGCATCTTACTTGGGCTAAAGAAAAACAGAACTGATTTGTTGCTCAGTGGTCCAAAGTCCTCTTTTCTCATGAGAGCAACTTTTGCATCTCATTTGGAAACCAAGGACCCAGAGTCTGGAGGAAGAATGGAGAGGCACACACTGCAAGATGCTTGAAGTCCAGTGTGAAGTTTCCACAGTCTGTGTTGATTTGGGGAGCCATGTCATCTGCTGGTGTTGGTCCACTGTGCTTCATTAAGTCCAGGGTCAATGCAGCCATCTACCAGGAGACTTTGTAGGACTTCATGCTTCCTTCCACAGAGGAGCTTTATGGGGATGCTGACTTCATTTTCCAGTAGGACTTGGCACCTGCCCACACTGCCAAAAGCACCAAAACCTGGTTCAATGACCATGGGATTACTGTGCTTGACTGGCCAGCAAACTCGCCTGACCTGAACCCCATAGAGAATCTATAGGGCATTGCCAAGAGAAAGATGAAAGACATGAGACCAAACAATGCAGAAGAGCTGAAGGCCGCTATGGAAGCATCCTGGTCTTCCATAACACCTCAGCAGTGCCACAGGCTGATAGCTTCCATGCCGCACCGCATTGAGGCAGTCATTGCTGCAAAAGGGGCCCAAACCAAGTACCGAGTACATATGCATGCTTATACTTTTCAGAGGTCCGATACTGTTCTATGTACAATCTTTGTTTTATTGATTGCATGTAATATTCTAATTTTCTGAGATTGTGGATTTGGGCTTATCATGAGCTGTAAGCCATCATTATCACTATGACAAATCACGGCTTGAACTATCTTGCTCTGCATGTAATGAGTCTATCTCATATATTAGTTTCACCTTTTAAGTTGCATTACTGAAATAAATGAACTTTTGCACAATATTCTAATTTTTCGAGTTTCACCTGTAAAATTCAGATTTGATAATCTTTGCCTCCCAAACCCTGAGACAGGTATCTGTAGAATTTTAAAAAGCATACTTGGAAAAAAATAGAATGAGAACAGATGCAAGTAAATAGCTCAAGTCCATAGGGATTGTTTCAAAGCAGGTACAATTTGGCAAAATATGTTGAGAGAACTACAGGTGAAACTCGAAAAATTAAATTATTGTGCAAAAGTTCATTTATTTCAGTAATGCAACTTAAAAGGTGAAACTAATATATGAGATAGTCTCATTACATGCAAAGCAAAATAGTTTAAGTTTCACCTTTTAAGTTGCATTACTCAAATAAATTAACTTTTGCACGATATTCTAATTTTTTGAGTTTCACCTGTATAATAATAAGATTTATTAAAGATTGGTGGTGACAGAAAACTAAATAGCCATATTTTTCTAAAAAACAAACAAACTCAATCCTGGTTATTATTCTGGACCTTTGTGGTAGCTAACTGACAATCTCTGCTTCACTTTTTGATATGCATACATGTGTACAATCTAGGGACATTACCAAATTTGGAATAATTAAGCTGAACTTGTTCTATTTGTCATTTCTTCCTTCAGACTTGAAGATGGTAAAAAAAGAAATTGTCTTTTCTCTGTCATGATTAATCAGATTGAAACTTCTTGTACAATTGGATCATATGGGGACCATGATTCAGGTGAAAAGGCAATGCCACTTCACAAGAACATGCATATTTAAATGATTGAGTATGCCTCATCTCCTCCATGCTGTTTAAAAGTTAAAATTCAGGCATCCCAAAGGCGATACAATGCTATTCAAGCTAAAAAAGCACTACAGGCTTCTGCTTTAATGTTAGCGCTAAGATGCAATAAATGAATGAATGAATGAATGAATGAAGTCAATAGTTTTTTTAGTAGACATCAATAACCATAGTTCCAATTTTCTCTAGTGCTTCCTTGGGTATATTATAAAATACTCCTTGATATCCTCCTCCTTTCTACACATAACCTGAATAGAAACAAAGATGTGATTTTTACAACAGTGACAAAAAGTAGCTCAGGACTAGTGACAACTCAGATGCTCTTAGTTGTGTTAATGTAATTATTACTTGATCATTAGCCAGCTTCAGCAACAAACAACATTGAGAAAATAACATAGAACATGAAAGATGAAAGGGAAGTGCTCATAACGCAGTCAGCCTGTGGAGCAAGACAGTCCCCAGGGAGGCCAGGCCCTGCACACTCACCATCTCCTGTACACGCGCCTAGGGATCTAAGGCTGACCACCTTCCAGCTCTGATAGCCACCAGGTTGTAGATCAGTGCCCAGTTGGCTTGGGCCGGGCTGAGGTGCTGCAAGCTGGTCCTTCGCTGTTTCAAGGGCAGCCCTGCAGGCCAGATCTAACATTGCAGGCCAGATCTGGTCCGCGGGCCTTGAAGTTTGACACCCCTGGCTTAGGCAAAGAAGCAGGCCATATCAAATTAAACACTGTCTGGTTTAGGATTCTGTTCCCATAACAGTCAATCAGTATCTTTGGAAAGGGCCAGCAAATAGCACCTCCCATTTATATTACTGAAGAGAAAAAGCTTGAACAAGATCAGATCTTTACAATCAAGATGCCAATTCTATTCCCCTATTTATTCTGGCAGCATTATTGCAGTATCTATATCACCCACATCAAGAGCCATGTAGAGAAATAATGTTTGGTTTATAACTCAAATTCCCAAGCACATCTATGGAGCATCAATCCATAATAGAACTGTCATTCATATGTAAATATATATACATCATGATCACCTGATTTCATCATGCATTAATCACTAGACCATCTCCCACTTTCTCACTAGATAGCCAAGTTCTCAAACTTCTACTGAAAGGAAAATCCTTGATTTTAAGAATATCTGTTCTTGCTCAAGAAAAGGGATTAAACTCCCTTTCATGAGCTCCTTCCTTGAAACCATAATTCTATAACAGAACAGTCATTGCTTTCATTTTCTCCAGGTCAACTACCTAAAGGAATTTCTTGAGACGAAGGTTGTTATTTTCATCTAAGCACATATCTACAATTTCTGCTGGCAAGTTGTGGCATTGTGATACAAGAATGCATTTCTTTCACAGCTCTGTTAACTTTCTGCATTCATACCACAGTTGAAACATTGGTTATTTGAGAAGTATTCTTCTTCTGCCTGCCCTTCAACAAAATCTTGTTTATGCCATATTATTATTTTTTTATCAGTAAGCTTCAATCCAATAGGTTTCTATCCTGAAAGAAAGTAATTTATAAAACAGCAATGCAACAGAGATTAACTTTTTTTTACAATGACTATCCCTATATTCAACTAAATCATAAGCATACTTTGGTAGAAGTTTGGAAAAATTTTTTGAGAATCTTATTATTTTTAATTAAATTATTCTTTCTTTCATACTCGAAGCTGCTAAATATTTTCAAAAACAAATTCAAATATATTTCCCTAGTAAAAAGCA